GGGCACACATTTTGAGATACTAGCTAGTGCTTTGTATTACTTTTTCATTTCAGGGGTGTTTTGAGTTGGGCCCAGTTGGGGAGAATGGAACATGATAGGAAAGTATCTTGATGGTACCTTTAAGTTCTGAAATGTTGGATCTGTGTTTCTCTCTCAGATGCACTCTTTTGTTATTTGTCATCCTGACCCTGTGGTAGTGTTTTAGTTTCAACTCTTGCAGGAAGGAGACTGAACAGTCTAGAAACCTTGTCAGCCTCTAGATCAATCGCCTGTAACCAAGGAAGCCTGTTATAATATCTTAGATTTGCGCCTTTTGCCTATGTCCATAGCCTTTCTCTGAGAGTTGGAATCACTGGTAGCTAGCTGGGTAGCCACCCCAACAAATGTTTGTTTACTAATAACAAGTTAATTTAATTTAGTTACTATTAAAAGTCAAATTATGGTATTGAAATAATTTCTGGATGGTTAAAATTCTTTTTCTTTAAGGTATTGGTTCTTAGCCTTTTTTGGTGTCTAAAAACACCTTTTGAAAATATATAACAAAATACCCTGAACCCCTTGAAGGCCATCCTCAAACTTCAGATTGAGTGCCTACTTTTAAGTTTTTTAATTAAATAATTTAACATGCATTATTAAGTTCTCTGTAAAATCTGGTTGTTCATGCTAAGCATGAAATATAGAATAGGAATGATTATTTCTAATTACAACTATTATTTTAGAAAACATTATCAAGTAGCAGAGCCAGTTCTTAAGTTCGGAAAAGTAAGCCCTGGCTGGCGTAGTTCAGTGGATTGAGCGCAGGCTGCGAACCAAAGTGTCGCAGGTTCGATTCCCAGTCAGGGTACGTGCCTGGGTTGCAGGCCATGACCCCCAGCAACTGCACATTAGTGTTTCTCTCTCTATCTCCCTCCCTTCCCTCTCTAAAAATAAATAAATAAAATCTTAAAAAAAATAGAAAAGTAGTAGATGTTGATGTGAATCTCTAACATCATACACAACAGGAGGAACTGTAAACAATTTCAGGACAAAGTAGATTAAGAAATTCATTATATGAACTCAAAGAGGTAAGTGTGGAAGAAGGTCAGGAAAGGGTTTTTATAAACTATATTCTAAGATTCTTTTGAGCTCTGTCCTGTGATTTTACGCTCAAATATTATTTTTACTTGGGAGATGGTTCACTTCACAAATCTGTTTCAGGTTTCTTTAGCAAATAAAACTGTATGATCTTTGTTTTTATGATGTAGCTGTAAGATGAACCTAATGAAAGCTGAAATAAACCATGACTAAGATTTAGAGTAACATCAGGTACAAAATTGGTACCGTTGATTTATGTTTTACTGCCTACTTAGTGTTTAATCAGGTCAAAAAAATTTTTTTTAGAAAATTATGATCACTGGTTATGTAATGTCTCTTTATTGTTCATATTCCTGTTTAATCTTCATATTAGTAAGAGCTAACACTGAGTTTTCCTCTGTGGTAGGGACAGTTTCTGGCATTTTAAGTGTTGCAACTCAGTTAATGCTCAAAATAACCCCATGAGGCAGGTATAATTACTAGTCCCACTTTACAGATGAGGAAACTGAGGCATAGAGAGGATAAGTAGTTAGTGGTATTCTTCTTGCAGGACTGGGATTCTTGACGTTTCTTGACATAATGTATTTATGCTATGTTCCCTTAAGCGAATTATAAACCTTGATTCTATGGACTTACTTTCTTTGCCCTAAATATTTGTTTAGCACAGTCCTTTGCACATAATTTAGGCTCTAATAATTATATATTAATTGAAAATTATATACTATAAGTCAAACCCATTCTTTCTATTTGCCTGGAAATTTTAGTTAGCTATTGTTGTTGTTAATGTAGTAAATATATTTTCATGTATTGTGTGTAATTAATGAAAATTTTGGATAAAATGAAAGCCTGTTTTTATGTTTTTTAATTGTTACATTATAAAAAAATATGGGGAAGTTAACCAATAAAATATACACATTCACAATGAAATTTATTTTATATGATACTAATGTTAGAATAAAGGTCATATTTATTTTAAAACCTCTTTGCATGCCACAAGGCAGCAGTCCCCAACCTTTTTGGCACCAGGGACTGGTTTCGTAGAAGACAGTTTTTCCATGCACTGGGGTGGAGGAGATGGTTTCTGGGTGATTCAAGCACAGTACATTCAAGCTCACCTCCTGCTGTGCTGCCTGGTTCCTGACAGGCCCAGACTGGTACTGGGGATCCCTGCCATAATGTACATAGTGATAAAACATTAGTGTATGTTCTGGATTTTAAAAATATCAGTAAGAGTTGTGCCATTTTTATCTTTATTATGTGGTATGACTTTCTTTTGTTCAGTTGTTACAACTTTGGCATATTCAGGTCAATCAGCTTTCTCTTTATCTTTGTTTTGAGTCATTGTTAACATCTACTTTGGTTTTACATAAATTTCATGCTTCTATTCTTCTCTCCACCATCTCCACCAACTAAAATAATTATTCAGTGTATAATTTATTGACCTAGATTTCTAACAAAGGTAAGCTTCAAAATGTTTATATAAGTTTTTACAGCTTTAAATGATTCTTTAATGAGCTGAAATGGTTTAGTTCAGATATACTTTATTCTCTTTAGGATCAGGGCTAATGTTATAACACTTCTCAATTATAATGTTTAGAAGAGTAATACAATTATCTGGAGACTTCAGATGGCAATTTAGTCTAAAGAGCCTGTAGCAACACTTGGAAAAAGCATAGGTAGACACATCTTTCTTTCTTGCCTTAATGCTCTTTTATGAGTATTTGTCCCTTTGTTTACCTAGTATACAGTTAATGAAAGTCTGCTTTTCCGCATCAATTAAATTATAACAAATGTGGCTAAAGAACCATTCTACAGTTTCTGATGTTAGAAGCATAATTATATTAATAAATGATTTGGAAACATTTGTGCAAAACTGAGATGCATGTAAATTAAAGTCTAACATGAATAATGGAAGATAAATAATTTGATATATACACTGCCTACCCAATATAAGAAACCAGCTTTTTAATATCTGTGGATATGACAATTACCAATATATTTTTAGCTTCCTATTTAAAATATTTTAATTAAAAATATGATAAAAGATGAGCAAGATTAATATAAGATAGTTTAAAGATTAGCTTCATAGCTCAGCCATTTAAAAATCCTGTTTGAATAAGCATGACCTTTTGATATGGTTCCAGTTAAAAACTATAATTAGCATGTTCATAATTTAAATAGAGGGAAGGAGAAAGAGAACTCAGTTGAATATCTATTTTGTACCAGATACTTTATGTATTATATATAATCCTCACTAAAATCTTTGTGGTTGGTATTATTTTCCCCATTTTATAGATGAGTAAATTGAGCTAGAGAGTTGTCACAATAAGTAGCTAAACTAGAATTCAGGCCTGTTTGACTTTAAAGCCCATGCTCTTTGCAGATGTTATCCCTTTGTTATGAACTAATTTAAAGATAGGATTTCTTGTGAATAACGTATCTTAATCTTTCTGTCTTTCACTTTTCATTTTTGCCAAACTTGTCTTTTTGGGTTTCTGTTGAACTTTTGTCTTTATAAAAGTGATAAATGCTCAGTATACATTTAAACATGCAGAAAATTAGGAAGATGAGTAAATCTAAAATTTCACCAACCATAGGTACCCTTGATATTTGAGTTTTTATAATGCATTTTTTAAAGACTATTTTTAGACAGAGGGGAAGGGAGAAAGAGAGGGAGAGAAACATCAATGTGTGGTTGCCTCCCACACACCCCCAATTGGGGACCTGGCCCACAACCCAGGCATTTGCCCTGACTGGGAATCGAACTGGCATCACTCTGGTTTGCAGAGCTGCGCTCAATCCACTGAGCCACACCAGCCAGGGCTATAATGCATTTTTAATACAATTGAAATCACAGGGTATAACTTTAAACCTTGAATTTTTACCAGACATTATAATGTAAACATTTCTTTGGCAAAATATATTACGTGAGATATGTGTGTGTGTGTGTGTGTGTGTGTGTGTGTGTGTGTATATATATATATATATCATAATGCCATAGCATAATATATATATATATATGGCATAATGTATCAAAATTAAAGGACCTACTTCCTTTTGGACATTTAGCTGCTTGTACTTTTTTCCCTTTGTAAATATTGAGGTGAACATTCTTGTATATACAAATCAAGATGTTGCCTGATTTCTCTACTAACCACCTCCCTCCACATGTACATTTACACACCCACACAATCCATCCTGCCCAACACTAAAGGTACAGAGTCAAATGTTGTGTTTATGAGCTAACTCAGATTAGTCTTTGTCCTTCTGTCTGTCCTTCCTTTCTTTGTGGGATTTTTTGTTGTTGTTTTTTCCCATTAGTATGGTTATAGTTTTTCAAAGTACAATTAGGATTATTTGTTTAAGTTTGCTTTCAGTTTTAGGTGTTTCCCCTCTTCTCATTCTTTATCGTTTTATTTTATTTTTTACATATGTAGAGTACTAACATGCTTTCCAAAGCCAAAACTATTCAAAGCCAGCACTTCCTGTGTACTTTTTCTGCTGTCTTCTAATCAAGGATTGTCTGTCCTCCTGGTACCATCAGTACAAGGTTTTTTTTGTTTGTTTGTTTTTTTCTGCATCATTATCAGCATATAAGCCTCACCTTAAAAGAAAACAATCCCTCTCTGGTGTGGCTAACCGGATTGAGTGCTGGCCTGTGAACCAGAGCTTGATTGAGTACATATGGGAGTGTTCAAATGGATGGATGACAGAAACACTGTAAATTTCTATAAGAGAACTATAGACAAGAGAGAGAAAAGCAAAAGAAGTAATAAAACCATTTGGAAAACATGAATTAAAGTAGAGCCTGTCACTGTGGTTTAGGGTTTCTTAGCGCTACTACATTTTTAGTGCTCTGTATATTTGCAAGAATGACTCTACCATAACTGACACTAAAATAAATGTCAATATATATTCTCTTTCAGATTTACCAAAAATTTATCTCCTGACAAGATAAATCTAAGTACCCTTAAAGGAGAAGGCGAACTGAAGAATTTGGAGTTGGATGAAGAGGTGCTCCAGAATATGTTGGATTTGCCAACATGGCTTGCTATCAACAAAGTTTTTTGTAATAAAGCATCTATTAGGGTGAGACAGATATCTGTGAAAAGCATTTTCTGTTTTTATTTTCTAATTTCATCCCTGTCTTTTAAAGTAAATATTTTGTTTTAGGTAATTCTGTAAAAAGTATTTTTATTAATACAGTTTAAAAAGACAGATACCTTTGTCTAAATAATTACATGAATGTGTGCCTTATAAATTTAGTCATACACTAATATATTATTAATTTATAGATTTTAATGTTCACCTAAAATGTAATGTTATTAACAAATAAATCTATTGGTAGTTTATTAATAAGTAATTGGTTAAATTTGGCACGTTGAAACTTTTTAATAGGATTTGCTGTCAAATGCAACATTTTAGATTTGTGTTTATTTTAAATGAAGACATTTAAAAATTATTATTACTACTTATTAAAACTTATTCCTACTTGCTTTGACACTAAGCATATCACTTCTTGCTCTTAAAGACTAGGCTTGGTTTGGCCCTGGCTAGGTAACTCATTTGGATAGAGCATCATCCACGTATACCAAGGTTGTGGGTTCAGTCGTTGGTCAGGGCACATATAAGGATCAACTAATGAATGCATAAATAAATGAAACAACAAAAACCGATGTTTCTCTCTCTAGAAATCAATAAAATTATACATTTAAAAATAGTCTGGCTTAGTTTGAAAGTCTGCTTAGTAGAAATAGTGAATACTAATTTGTTTCATAAAGTTAAAATTGGGCACCAAAAGAAAAGATTGTGGGAAAAGGATAGCCTCTTTCAATTTTTTGTTCTATCCTTCATAAACCTAAGTATCTATAAGGATATGATATTTTAATGCAGATTATCTTTGAGTATTATTTACTTGATATTGCCTACATTTTATAGCAGTGACCTCATTTTTGTACTTACCTTGAATATTTGCAAAAAGATTGGTCAGAATTCCAGAATAAAAAAATTGTTAAAATGAACAAAGTACTAATTGTGCTTTGCTGGGAAGTCTTAGCTAAAATTCTGAAATTAAAATGTGTTTTAAGGACTGGGAAGAGAAGATATTTAAGGCAACCTGAAATTTTTACTTAAAAAGATGACTAAGAAAAAATGACTAGTCATTTATGTAATACAGGTATATTTAATTTAGAGAGTATCCATGAATCACTTATTTAATATATTGCAATTTAAGAAATAAGTCATCTGATACAATTTGGTGTGTTTATCACTATATTAAAAAAGAAACTGTGTTGCTTACTCTTTTATATTTTTTAAATGATTTGTTTTAAAGCAAACTTTTTTTTTTTTTTTTTAAGATCCCATGGACGAAACTGAAAACACATCCCATCTGTTTGGTGAGTTCTGAATTGCCTCAGAAATAAACATTTATATAAGCATATGATCTAACTACTCTTTTAATATTAACATATCCTGGGATTAGAAACTGCACTTCTATAAAATCTCAGCAGTATATGGCTACGTCTTAGAGTTTTTCTCTCATACCCCTATAATGCAATTTTTCTATCAGATAGTGCCTTGAGAAAGGACTGAGCACGTTGTTTTCTGTTTTGATACTTGTCTTTTTAGGCCTTCAGAGAGACATTTAAAATGGCTCTGCTCATTTACTGTTTACTTTGCTCATAAAGAAATGAAAGACAATATGGTCTTAAATAATATATATAAAATAAAAAATATCTAATTGTTTGCTTTTTAAATGTATTTTTATTAGTCCCTAGATAAAGTAATAATGGAAATGAGTACATGTGAAGAACCACGAAATCCTAATGGCCCATCACCAATCGCAACTGCTTCAGGACAGAGGTAAGCTATTTCCATTAATCTGTATGATTGGCAAAGGGAAATTTTTCCTGTAGTCACCTGTATTATCTGCAATAATGTAACATAAAACCTCTTCCATCAAACATTTTAGAGTTTTAATATGTATGTTACAAAAGTAGCAGAATTGATTTTTAGCCTCTTTTATTTATCTTGCTTTTCTTGATATTTAAATAGTAATTATCAAACAAAGGCAGAACAGTGGTAGAAAATGAAAGCAGAAGAGCTTAGGCACACTATAAATCAGATGCATATTATTTATTCTACGCATTGATAAAGAGTTAAATTGATGCCTAGAAAATTACAGACCTTTTAGATTAATCTAAAAATTAAATAAAGAATGCTCCCAAGTTAGATGCTAATAACGTAGAAACATGACCCATTTTGCAAAGTCTTCTTGAAAAGTTGAAGTAGTTATTGAAAAATAGATCTTTAAAAAATATTGTTTATTTTTGTATTCAGTGTGTTTGGATCTTGTGCTATACATCATTTCCTCAAGGCAGGATTTTGCACCATTTTAGATTGTGCAGTTATTCATGTAAAGTGTTCACATAGGTTTAATGTGATTGGTACCTCCTCCAGTTGTACAACTGGGCAACCTTGAACATTTATAGTATTCTAGGTACAGAGTAAAACTAGTGATAATACTCTTCTTGAGGATGAAGATGCACATACACACACTTACACCATCCTCTTTCACCAATGTTGAACCACCTTACATCAGTGTATTCTATCAGATGCACAATTTGTATTTGCATTACAGGTAATAGTGACTGGGAAAAGAGCTTCCACATGAACTTCTTTGTAGTTTTTGCATTGTCCAGCAATTTGTGATTTTAATGTATATTTTCAGGTTTGATAGCGTACATTAGAGCAGTTGGTCTTTAAATTATCTAGAGTTAAAAAAAATTAGAAAGTAGAGATGTTTATAAGATTATTGAAAGCGGAAAAGTTCAGGAAAATTGCTATTAATGAAAGATTTATTTTATTTAGATAGGGCAGAAATTAGATATTTTGTCAGTGTGTGCTAAATGTAGTTGATAGTGTTCTTTCTAATTCACATTTTTATAGTATCTATAAGCTTTATATTCTGGCTTTGTAATTATATGATGGCAGTCCTTGTATTTTGATTGCAGTATGGTTAATCTATTTCCACGTTTTTCACACTTGCTTGATTGTAACAATCAGGGTGTTTACTAAGTCTGCAGAGTCTTTTAAGCTCTTTTTTTTTTTTTGAAATTATGATTCATTAGGTTTATAATGGTTGTCAGGAAGATGAATATGGGCCCTTGCCAGGTAGCTCAGTTGGTTAGAGCATTTGTCCCAATATGCCCGGGTTGTGGGATTTAGCCCCGGTCAGAGCATATACAAAAATCAACCAATGAATTCATAAATAACTGGAACAACAAAACAACAGATCAATGTGTGTTTTTCTCTCTCTCTAAAAAAAAAGGAATATGAATATGTATTTTTTACAGTTCTTTAGAGTCATGCACTTAGGGAAACACTGATCTGAGTTTGTTTTTAGCTAAAAGATTAAAATAGAGGGAAACTAATAATTAATAGACTTAGGAGAAACTTACTTATAAACAGGAATTTTACCTTTAAATTATAATGGATGACATAACCAGAAACATGTAGACTTAGTCATTGATACTGGCATCACCCTGCTGATGGTAAGTCCTGGAAAACAATTGTAACACTTCTTAATGTGCATACAGTAGAACAGATAGGGATGGATATTCTAAAGGGTATTCCTGTAAAATTATTCCAGAAATAATCTTTCCACTCCAGGAACACTTCTACCTAAATGTCTGATAATTGTTTTTAGAATCAAACCACCTCCTCTTTAGGATGCTGATGAGTTCTTACTCTTCGATTCTCTAAACCCAAGGTAGATGGTCACCTCTTTTCATAACAAAACTACATCAGGCAAGCCAAGAACTATATAAATTACTACGTATATACTGTTTCACTTAAGAACCACAACCACCTGTTCAAATAGGTACTATTTTCATTTTACAAATGAGGAAACAGGCTCACAGACTTTCAATACTGGTAATATACTACTAATAATACCATAAACAATAGTTATATTTTTATGAAGTATCAGAAGAGATGGGCTATTTGGTTATTACGTATTACTTCATGTAATCTACAGATAACCTACAAAGTATTACCTGATTTAAAAGATAAGTCACGCCCTGGATGGGTAGTTCAGTTGGTTGGAGTATTGTCCTGATACACCAAGGTTGTGGGTTCGATCCTCATTCAGGGTACATGCTAGGAGCAGCCGAAGAGTGCTTGGATAGTGGAACAGCAGACTGATGTTTCTCTCTCTCAAATCAATAAGTAAAAAATTTTCAAAATACATCACAAAAAGATCAGTTATATGAGGCTTAAAAAGATTCCTTGATTTACTTATTTAATAAGGTAGTAAATAAAAAAACATAGCAGCAGATATACTAGAGGTATGTACATGCTCCATATGATGATGGGTTCGTTTTTATTCATGTTGGCTTTGAAATGTGTGAGAGCAAGCCTGGTGGAGGTATGTGGTAGACATTTGAATTTTACAGTCTGAAGTGAGAGATTTGGACAGACATAGATTTAGGAGTAATGGTCATATTGATGACGATTGAAGTAATGTGCCAGTTGGGCAAACTTTCACCATCCTTTCTGCCAAAATACATCGGTAGTCTATATTCCAGTTACACTGCACTTTCATCATTCTCGAAATATAACCTCTGCTCTTCTACTTATATCTGTGCCTTTACTCATGCTTTTTCCTATTCCAAGATTTCCCTGCCTTCCCATCTCTCCCCATGGAAAGTTAATTTTCTTTTTCTAGATATATTTCTCTCTAGTTATAAGCAATTTCTTCCTTTACTAAGTATGCTAAGTATGCTGATTCAGTTACTAGGGTCTTTTTTTCCCTCCCCAAGTAACTTGTGTGCTCTATAATGCCTAACTCTATTTTGATTTTCCTTATGTTGCAGTGTTGTTCACATAGTAGATGCACGAGAAATATTTGTTACATAGAATTAGAGAACGTGACCTTTTTCTTACCTTGTTTCTGAATTACAAGGTTATATTCCAGCTGGACTCAGTATCCTTCTTTGTGTTAAGAATTTGGCACTCTTATTTATGTTATAGACGCCAATTGTCTAGACTAATGCTTTTTGAGAAGCTGATTATAAAAATTTAATTTGTGGATTGACCTCCAGTTTTAAAAATTGTTCATCATTTTGAGAAGACCATTTTTATAACTTACATGTAACCAGGCTACCCTATTAAGAAAAAATTGTTTTTAAAAACAAAATTAGGCTTCTGGCCAAGATGGAGGCATAGGTAGAGACACTGTGCCACGTCACACAACCAAAATAAGGTCAGCAACAATTTAGAAACAAGATAACAACTATGTCTGGCAGAAAATTTATCTGAATGGAAGTTGGACAACCAGGAAAATACATGAATTCATCCAGACCGGTAGGAGGGGTGGAGTTGGGCAGCTGGGCTCAGGTTGCGGCTCGGAGAGTGTTGGGACCAGGCGCAGAAGGCATCCGTGCGCAAGACCGCAGCGTGTGAACCCTGAGCGCACAAGCGGCAGCTGGCAGACCCCAGCCGAGGGGCGGCAAACAGCAGACCCAGCGAGGTGGTGATTGTGAAGCAAGGCACTGCCCGCAACCCAGGATCCCACTGCTGGGAAATAGAGGCTTGGGGCCCTGATTGAGGACACCTGTGGGGATTGAGGATCAGGGAGGGACTCCCAGCCTCTCAGGAGAGGTCCTTGGAGGGTCCCACAGTGTGCACAAGCCCATCTACACGGGAACTGACACCAGAGGGGCCCAGTTTGCTTGGGGGAAGCAGCGGAAGGGACTGAGGTCCCATGGAGAGTGGAGCAAGTGCTGTTATTCCCTATTGGACCCCGAACCCACATACAACATCACAACCCAGCTCCTGGAGTGCCCCACCCTGGTGAACACCTAAGGTTCTGCCCCTCATATGTAACAGGCATGAACAGACCGAAGGAAATAAAATAAAATAAAATGAAATAAAATAAAATAAAATAGATGGCTCAAACAGTTAAAAGCCCCAGAGCCAGTTTTTTTAAGTGACCAAGAGATAGCCAACCTGTCAGATGCACAGTTCAGAGCACTGGTGATCAGGATGCTCACAGAATTGGTTGATTTTGGTCGCAAATTAGATGAACAAATGCAGGCTACGATAAGAGAAATGAAGGAAAATGCATAGGAAACCAATAGTGATGGGAAGGAAACTGATACTCAAAACAATAGAGTGGACCAGAAGGAAGAAAAAAACAGACAACCAGAAAAGAATGAAGAAATAAGAATTCCAAAAAATGAGGAGAGGCTTAGGAACCTCCAGGACATCTTTAAACGTTCCAACATCTGAATTATTGGGGTACCAGAAGGAGAGGAGGAAGAGCGACGAGTGGAAAACTTATTTGAACAAATAAAGGAGAACTTCCCCAATCTGGCAAAGGAAATAGACTTCCAGGAAGTCTAGGAAGCTCAGAGAGTCCCAAAGAAGTTGGACCCAAGAAGGAACACACCAACGCACATCATAATTACATTAGCCAAGGTAAAAAATGAAGGAGAGATTCCTAGAAGCAGCAAGAGACAAGGAGACAGTAACCTACAAAGGAGTTCCCATCAGACTGTCAGCTGATTTCTCAAAAGAGACCTTACAGGCAAGAAGGGGCTGGAAAGAAGTATTCCAAGTCATGAAAGGCAAGGACCTACATTCCAGATTGCTCTATCCAGCAAAGCTTTCACTTAGAATGGAAGGGCAGATCAGGTCTTCTCAGATAAGGTCAAGTTAAAGTAGTTCATCATCACCAAGCCTTTATCATATGAAATGTCAAAGGGACTTATCTAAGAAAAGACAAGACATGCACAGTAAAATGACAGCAAACTCGCAATTATTAACAACCACACCTAAAACAAAACCAAAAGAAACTAAGGAAACAACTAGAACAGGAACAGAACCACAGAAATGGAGATCACATGGAGGGTTAACAACAGGGGAGTGGGAGGAGGAGAGAGGGGGGAAAGGTACAGAGAATAAGTAGCATAGATTGTAGGTAGAAAATAGACAGGGGGAGGGCAAGAATAGTATGGGAAATGTAGAAGCTAAAGAACTTACTAACTCATGGACATGAACTAAAGTGCAGGAATGTGGGTGGAAGAGGTGCAGGGTGGAGGGGAAAAAAGGAGGGAAATGGGACAACTGTAATAGCATAATTAACAAATTATATTAAAAAACAAAATTAATATGGTAGTTTGTATACTTGTGTGAGAATATTAACACATAATTTTTCTTTAAATGATATTTTTGGGGTTTTAGCACATTATATTTTGTTTTGCTTTACTTTTCCAGTGAATACGGTTTTGCTGAGAAAGTAGTTGAGGGAATTACTGTGTCTGTAAATTCCATTGCCATCCGCATTGGAGCCAAAGCCTTTAATGCATCCTTTGAACTTTCCCAGTTACGGATCTATAGTGTAAATGAAAACTGGGAACACGGAGATTTAAAATTAACTCGTATTCAAGATCCACAGAGAGGAGAGGTAAAGATTTTTTTCTTTGTTTAAAAACTATTTTAGTCATTGATAAATAAAAGATATTTAAAATAATTACTTCTGTGGTTACCTACATTCACATACTACTGGATTTACTCTTGCCTTTTAACTGTATTTTTCTTTGTTTTATTCTTAATCATTATTAAATGTTAGAATGTTTTTATTGTAATAAATCTTTCAACTTACAGAGTTAATAAGGCATATTTTAACTTTACAGCTACTCAGAATTGAATTTTACATTTATAAAACTAAAATATGTCATTTAAACTCTTGGTCATATGATTCAGATACTCTACTTCATACTAAAATTAAATTATTTAGAATAAAAGCATTAACAGCTTTATAGATGATGAATATAATTATGAGAATGTGTTACTGAATTTGTTGGAAGTAGACAATTTTTTAAAAAATAGTCATAGTAGCTTTATCTAGAATGTCATGAATATTAGTGAAAAGGTACTTTTTTTTAAAATCTACATTTTTCTCGTGCAAGTGAAGCTAATCTCTGTGTTCTCTTTAGGTTTTGACATTTAAAGAAATAAATTGGCAGATGATTCGAATAGAGGCAGATGCTACCCAGAGTTCACAACTTGAAATTATGTGTGCTCCTGTTCGATTAATAACCAACCAATCAAAAATCAGAGTCACACTTAAAAGAAGAGTAAGTTAGCAGGGTTTTCTTTTTGATTCATGTTATAACTGTAAGAATTGACAGGAAATTTAAAATAATTTTTAGGCAAAACATTGGCATATTAAAGCAATGCAAAAACAAAGGGAGATATAATAGCTTAAGCAATATTTGAAGAAACACACTATAATATTAAACTTTTCAGTCCTCTAGATTTAATATTTAGATTTTTATTTTTTATGATTCAGTAGATTTCTCAATTGCCAGATATCTGTTGAATATTACAGTTTTACAATTTTATTTCTACTGTTGAATCACTTAGGAGTGAGTAAATTTTAGTAGCCAAAACTACTAGCTTTAGAAGGTTATTAAGGTATGACTGGTAATTAAGATAAATAAAGAGGATAAGTACTTATGGATGTCAGAGGTGAGAGTTTACTATAGATTGTGATGAAATTTAATGACAGAGTAATAACTTATTTTAACCATGACTTAAAGTCTCAACAATATGTTTTGTAGCAGTAGGACACAAATTACTGTATTAAATTAAATTGGAAAAAAATATTTTTAGAATATGTGGTTTTAAAATAACATTTTAGTTTTTAATTAATGTTAATGCCCCCTTTTGCTACTAGAATCAGTTGAATTAACATAGGTAGTTAAATGATTTATTAGTTATAAATACAAAGTTAAATCATATAAGTACTTATACCTATATTCCTTTTACCTGTTTATGTACAGAAATTTGTCAGTCTTTTTTTACCACCGTATCACCAATACTAGGAGATATTCTTTCTATGCTTTTGGAACTCATTAAATATTTGGTAAATGAAGGAAGGATCCATATTAGTTCCATTCAAAACTTAAATTTTTTAAAAAACAAGCACATTATAAGTTTTATTTCTTGGCTTAATTTTATGAATCATTTTTTTTTTGACAGTTAAAAGACTGCAATGTCATTGCAACAAAGTTAGTTCTAATATTGGATGACTTATTATGGGTTTTAACGGATTCTCAGTTGAAGGCTATGGTACAATATGCAAAGTCTCTTAGTGAAGCAATAGAGAAATCAACAGAACAAAGGAAGAGTATGGCTCCTGAACCTACACAGGTAAGCTGTTAAGTTAAAAACAAAACCTTACTTTACATGTAAATGGTTTAAAAATCAGAATGGATAGTTGTTTTCTTTATGTGAAATAGATTTTAATACTCTGAGCCAAGAGTCTTCTTATATATCTTATTATATACTTTTACATACTTGATACCTATATGAAAACATATATTAATTATATTTCTAGCTATATAGTTCTTATTTGCTTGGAGGTCTGTATTAGGCACTGGAGTTAATGATAACAAAAATACTTGATATCTCCTTTCAGGAAGTTAAAAATATACAATTTTCAAATTACTAAAGTAAAGACAAAAGGAAAAAAAAAACCCCTGGGGAATGATAGTCTAGGGTGGGGAGGGGTGTGAGAATTAATAGAGCAGAAAATGAAAATCCCGGGGAATTGCTGCAGTTGGGCACAAAACTGTAGACTTTGTCTGACAGCTGGTGCACAGATGGGGGAAATACAATGACCACTCTCTTAAAATCAGAAGCTGTCCCTCTTTTGTCTGAAGTGTGAAAGGTTTTCTAGAAATCTTTCGCAGTACTAAATTCTGAGAATTAAACAAAAATGTTTGTAGAAGGGATGTTGAAAATCCCACTGAGTAATGTCCTTTGATAATTTTATAAAAAGTGCAACTGAATTTTTACATTAAATGTCAGTTGAGGAAAATGAATCAGGAGGCTTTGCCAGACTTGAATGACGAAGTTTTATTCAGGGATTTTAAATAAATTACAACTTGAGAAACAGTACCAGGCAGTGCCTAGAGTGTTCAGAAGCAAAGAGAGAAATTGAGAGTTTTTATAGTAAAAAAACATACTTGAGAATAACCAGTTCTCCCGTCTTAGCTTCTGGGTTGGTCAAAAAAGGTAATCTTTGAGATGCCAGGTGGTCTGGACAATGAAAGTCTTTCCTAAGTATGTCAGGTGGATAATGAATGCATTCAGTCCTAAATTCTTCAGATTGTTATCTGTAGGATTTATGTACATCCAGGCATTGACCCACAGCTGAAAAGTTTGAAAGTTTAAGCCATCTGGCTAGTTCAACTAAAATAAAATAGTTTCCTCATAGTTTTGCTCACTCTGATTTAATTAATTTTGTAAGCTGACTGTAGTGGCTCAGTCTTGTTTCCCTAATCTTCCTCACTACTCTCAGTAAAAACTTAGGTGTTATTGTGAAATCATACTTCTGTGAAGCTACAGCACTTCTTTGGAAACTGAGTAATGTATTTCAGGTTTATAGCTTGGTGATTTGGCTTGTATGTCATAATGGCATTCATTTAGGCTTTCCTGTGTCTATCAAATTGGCATTATTTACAGCCTGCCTCCTTTGTCATAAGGTGCAGGGCTACACACTGGGTATATAAAAATGAGTATTATCTGACACTGCCCTGAAGGATCTCCGAATATAACTCAAAACAAATCATTGCAGTTTAACACAAATGCTAGAGTGCAGAATTAAAAAGAGGGGTGAGGCACAGAAGTTTTAGTCAACTGCTTGCAGAGTTTGGAAAGGTTTCATTAAGGATAATGAAATTAAGTCTTAAAATATGTAGATGTTTATAGGTGAGGGAAAGGGTATTTCAGATGAGGAAAAAGAATCTGCAAAAGTGTGGTGATGTTAAAGGGCATGATAAAGCTAAGGAGTTTGGTGTTACTAGGGCAGTGTTTTTGAAAGTGAGGTGCACATGCCTGTGGAATATATGAGAACTGTCCAGGTTTTAGGAAATCAAGTACCACATCTTCCATTTTGAGGTGTACTCTTTCTTAAACTTGGTCTGCCTGAGAATGTTCTTATGTTAAGATGTCAGGCTGATTCTCCCTTTCCACAATTACTCTTACCCTGTTTTACAATGAAAGGCATTTTTCTTATTTGTTCTCATTCTTGCTGTAATGAATTTCTTCAGCAAAACAAAACAAAACAAAACAGCCTCTGGAAACAACACAGGCAATTTGAAATATTGTTATTCTTATCAGAAGTGAATGACCAGGGATAAAATAACAACTTAGGTGATTTCTACTTGTTCACTTTCAACACATTTGAAGGAAGATCTAATAAATGTCAGTTTTTAGGTTATTAAAAGTAATTTTTCATAATCATTTTGTGAGTCCTAGAATGTAACCTGAAGGAGTTGAAAGAATAATGTTACATTGCTAAAACAAAACTCACTTTAGTCCAATCTACCTGTTTATGTGATCCAAGTTTTTCAGAGCTTTTCACCATAAAAACAAATAGGTAGAGAATTGATGGTAAGCCCTGTATCATTGTACCAGTAATATTTATTCAATAAAATTTTATCATAATTCTCTGCGGTAATCTAATTTTAAAAGTTTGATGAACAGAACACTGGACTGTAGCAACAAGTAGAACTTTCCTGGGCAGGTAGTCTGGATTTAGCAGAAGAGTGTGGTGACTAAACATGACATGTGTTTTATGTTGAAGAATTTGGAATTTTTCTTATAGCCATGTTGCAGCTCATGGACGTTTATAAATGGGAAAGGACAGTCAAATGTGGCAGGTGGTAGTGTAGAGAATGGACAAAAAAAGAGATAGCTAGTGTCAGGGAGGGGTGGACTTGAACCTCCAGTAATGGTTTTAAAGAAGAAATACAAGCTAAATCGGTGAGAGTAGCAGAGTCTTTCATCAGTTGAAGATAAAGAAGAGGGAACAACAGTTAAGGACTTTTCAAATCAAAATTGGTAGTTCCATTAGCCAATAATGAGAATGCAGAGAAAGAAACAAGTTTCATTAAGGGAAATAAAGCTGAGAAAAGTAATGAGTTCTTTTTTGGAGTTGAAAAACAATGGAAGAAGTACGGGAGGTAATATTTTATAATTTATCCATCATAGACATAAACAGGGGTCTGTTAAGGCTTGCAGTGATTTAAATAGCTTAAGATGTCATTAATGGAGGTGGTAGTTGAAATTAAAGAATAGACAAAGTGTTGATGTTACCATAGCTCTTGCTTATACAATGTGTGGTATGTTTATATAAAATAGAATATAGATTAGGAAACTAGATAAAGATACAGATTAGGAAACTAGGAAGAAGCATAAAATTCTATAATCTTACCATCATAACAAAATAAATGTTAGCATTTTTAGGTATTTTCTTACAGATTTTTCTGCCTAGGCATCTGCATTTTTTCCCTAGTTTTAGTAAAGATGTAGTATGTGGATATATACAGTGTTCTTCCATGTTGTTAGTCTTTGTAATTACTATTTTTTTTTTTGTCTCTCTCTAATACTTTATAGATTAACTTCAGCATTCACATTACCACAGAGTTTCTTTCTTGGGTTGTGGTTGTCATATCACTACTTTAGGCAGAATGAAGAATTTCCTGATTATTTGAAGTATCAAGAGAATGGATTAGAGAGTGAAGTGGTTACAGCTCAGCTTTACAATTTGAGAGCCAGCTCTTAACATAAATATTTGCTTATCTTTATCTTTCCCTCTGTAAGAGAGAAAGAGGACTACATTCAGAATTATTAACCACAAAGGAAAAGAGTTTATCGTGACCTGCTTTTTTTCCCCACAGATAGCATCCAAACTCTTGAATCTACCACAGTATTGAGAGGGGTTTGTAGAGAGAAAAATGTTTATTTTTACATTTGTATCAGTATTTATCCTGATGAATAAGGAGAAAACATGATTAAAGAAATACAGGAGAGTATTTGCTTTCAAAATAGTATTACCATAGATACAAATACTAGCTGTTAATGTTTTAAAGTAGATAGGTAAAAACATAAGAATGGTTTTTCTGATGGAATGAGTTTAACAATCAATTAATCAAAAAGTTTTACTTGAGCCCCTAGTATTATATTTTGTTTTTTTTTGAATTATATTTTATTGATTGTGCTATTAATTTGTCCTGATTTCTCCCCCTTTGCCCCACCTCCACCCAGCACCCCCGCCCCGCACTCCATCAGGCAATTCCCCACACCATTGTTCATGTCCATGGGTCTTGCATATCAGTTCTTTGGCTACTCCATTTCCTATACTATACATCCCCATGGCTATTCTGTAACTTCTTATTTGTAATTCTTAATATCCTCACCCATTCCACCACACCTCACTCCCATCTGGCAACCATCAAAACGCTGTCTATATCCATGATCCCGTCTCTTTTCTTCTTGTTTGCTTAGTTTGTTTTTTAGATTCAATTGTTGATAGATTTGTATTCATTGCCATTTTATTGTTCATAGTTATCATCTTTTTCTTAAATAAGTCCTTTTCACATTTCATATAATAGTGGTCTGATAATGATGAACTCTTTTAGTTTTTTCTAAAAAAAACTAAAGCTCTGGGAAGCTCTTTATCTGCCCTTAGATTCTAAATGATGATAGCATTGCTCAGTAGAGCAGTCTCTGCTGTAGGTCCCTGCTTTTCATGACTGAATATTTCTTGCCAATCCTTTCTAGCCGGCAAAGTTTCTTTTGAGAAATCAGCTGACAGTCTTATGGGAACTTCCCTGTAGGTAACTACTATTTTTCTCTTGCTGCTTTTAAGATTCTCTCTTTTATCTTTAACCTTTGGCATTTTAATTATGATGTGTCTTGGAGTGGGCCTGTTTGCGTCCATCTTGTTTGGGGCTCTCTGTGTTGAGCCTCTAGTATTAATGGCTTCACAACTACATTTCATCTTTTCTTTAATTACTATAGGCTACAGTTATTTTCATGGAGATTTTTATTTACTGAATATACTTTGAAATTCTTTTGCAGTGTGATCATTGTTCTTGATAGATATGTGTAAATATATAGAAACACAGAATATATACTTTAATTTTCCATAAATAACTATACTTTTTATTAATGAATTGTTCTTAATTAGAAAATTTTTGATATTTTTAATGAAATATTTGGTCTTTATTTTGTTTATTATAACCAAAGTTTCATGTAGAGTTCTTAGGCTAATGTATCAGGTCATCAGAGTATGTATGCAGAATTATTTTAGGCTATTAAGAGGTTCATATATATGCCTGTCTACATACTTTGCTAGTATTCTATGCTTTTTCTCTTTGAGGAGAAAAGAATTTGAACTTAATTCTGTTATAAGTCTCTTCTGCTTTCTAGCTTCTTTAGATATCCAAGTTCAAAGGATATACCACACTTTGTAAGAGGCAATAGAGCACTTACAGTACTAAATAATGTCATGAGCACTTTTATAAAGAAGTGATTAATTTCTGTAGGATATATAATAATGTGTGCAGCTGATGTATACAGGGCTCATATTTGTTTTCTCTGTAATATATTTAAAAATATTTAAATAAGCTGCCTTTGATGGTTAATAAGTACATTTTTCTAAGACAAGAAGAGCTATAAATATGTAAATACAACTACTCAAATATTTACCAAAACATAATTGGCTTCATATTCAAATTTTATATAGCTTTTGAGTTTTAGTTTTATTCCTGTGTAATTAAGAACATATTTAAGGAAAACTGAGTTACTGATATAAAAGAAAATATATTAGTCTGTTTTTTATGACTTTATTCCTAAAACTTTTTAAGTTTTATTGCTTGGGAAATTTCAAGTATTTAACTTGCAGTGATAATGCAGTTTTGAATCTTTTAGAGCTCTGCAGCAGCCCCGTCTACACAGCAAGTGAAGACACCACAGACTTCAAATGCTCCTGATCTAAATGACGCAATTGTGAAACTATTCAATGACTTTGATGTTAAAGAAACCTCCCATCATTTAGTGATTTCTCATCTAGATCTACACATATGTGATGATATTCATGCTAAAGAAAAAGGTAATTAAAGCTGCTTGTTTTAAACTATTTTGTTTTTTCTAGAATTTACTATAAAACTGGATTGTTTACCATATGTAATATGTAGTATCTACTATCAGATAACTGGTTGTAATTTTATCACTCATAAGAGATATATGCCTGAAAGGTATAATGTTAAACGTTATAGATTGCAGTACGTATATCAAGCTCCATAGAGACAGTGCTGGGGCAAGTGTGAGCTGGACCAGCACTGAGCAACTCTGCTTCCTGTGGCAAGCAGTTAAACATTGGCAAAGGAGAACCTAAAAGCCGAGAGGCAAAATGCCATCATATGCTTTCTTTGTGCAAATTTGCCAGTAGGAGCACAAGAAGTAGCACCCAGATGCTTCAGTCAGTTTCTCAGAGTTTTCTAAGAAGGATTTGTAGAGCTGGAAGACCATGTGTGCTAAAAAGGAAAACATTTGAAGACATGGCAAAGGTGGACAAGGCCTGTTATGAAAGAAAAAGAAAAACTTACATCTCTCTTAAAAGGGAAATAAAAAAGAAGTTCAAGGATCCCAATGTAACCAAGAGGCATTCTTCAGCCTTTTTGTTGTTTTGTTCTGAGTATTGCCCCAAAATCAAAGGAGAGCATCGGGCTTATCCATCTGTGATGCTGTGAAGAAGCTGGGAGAGAGATGGAATCACACTGCTGCAGGTGACAAGCAGCCTGATGAAATGAAGGTGGCTAAGCTAAAGGAGAAATATGAAAAGGATTTTCCTCTAAAGGAAAACCTGATGCTGCAAAAAGGGAGTTTTCAAGGCTGAAAAAAGCAAGAAAAAGAAGAAGAGGAAGACAAGATCAAGACAACAAGGAGGACGAAGATGAAGATGATAATGAGTTGGTTCTAGCACAGTTTTTTTTCCTTACTTATAAAGCATTTAACCCTCCTCTGCACAATTCACTCCTTTCAAAGAAAAAAATTGAAGTACAAGGCTGTGTAAGATTTGTTTTTAAACTGTATAATGTCGTTTTCTGTATAGTTAACATACTACTGAATGTGTCTTTAGATACCATATGGTGGTATTTTCAGTAGCCACTAATCTTGCCTGGTACAGATGGGGGTTGTAAATTGGCATGGAATTTAAAGTAGGTTCTTATTGTTACACATCACAAATTAGTTATACATGGGGATGGTAGATTTTTCATTTTCAGTTGTCTGTGGTGCAGCTTATATGAAATGTTAACTGAATACCACTCTGTAATTGCAAAAAAAGTTACAACTATGTTGTTGACATTCCGAATATTTCAAAGTAAAAACAGGGTTTTTTTTAATTGAAAAAATATTATGTATTGGTATGACATTTTATTTTGCCTTAATAAGTTAGTACTTAAGTACAATTAATTGTTAGCTGACGCAGACACCGGCCCGTAGTGTCCGCGGCATCATGGATGAGACATGAGACATTCACACAGACTACCGAGTCCTGTGTGGAGGAAAAGGGACGGCCTGGCTACCCTCTCAAGAGGGGAGGTTGCCTTGGAGCAGCCTGGCCACTCTCTGAGGCAGAGAGCGCCCCAATCCTTCCCTTCACAGGGTTTTTATTGGGTTTCAATTTGCACAGGAATACAGGTAAAGTTCATTAATCATTGTCAGGCAGTAAGGATCAAACAATAGATAATGTTCAAAGAACTAAAAAGGGCTCCCCCTGAGTTGGAGTCTTAGCACCTAAAAATCTACACTACTTGAGGAGCTAAATTCATTTCCTGCCCAGCAGGAAGTTTCCTTCATAATCTAATGAAGGGCATCCTCAGCAAGCAGGTTTCACAGGATTTTACATATTCATTTTTCAGGTCTCATCATCCCGGGGAGTCCCCAGTCCCCAGTGTGGATTGCACCACCCCTTGTTATTGTCACAGGTTTGAGTCTGGCAGAGGAGACAAAGGCAGCTGGGAGATTTGGATGTCTTGCAGGCAGAATGAGGACTCAGGCTTTGTCAAAGCCGAGGGGCGAGGGTCAATCACCCTCTTTTTCCACAGCCCCCCAAGTCCTTTCCTGGGGCCTTCATGTGATCATGCCTGTCTTAGATGATTCCCCCTTTGGGGAATCTTACTTGTCATTAGCTAACTGATCAAGCATTGGGGGACAGGCAAGGAGCAGAAGCAGCGCTCCTGCCAGGGAGATAAGCTTGTCTCCTTAGTGGCTTCTGGTCCAGAGGTCTCTCACTCAGCCTTAGCCATGGGGGGTTACAGCTCCTGAAACCAGGCAGGGCGGACCCCAACAGTTAGCTATCAATGCCAGTAAAATTAGATAAAAAAATCAAAGACTGAGTATATGACATCCTTGGAGAATGAGGGAATATTAAAGTTGCCTTTGAATTAACTTTTCTATAATTTTGAGGTTGTCTATAAATGAAATTATTGTCCATACTCAGTTTATAATTTGCACTTGTGTTTTCAGCACGGTGGTTTGTAGTTTTCTGACCCCGAGTGCGTGTAAACACAATTGTGGAGCTGTTTAAAACTTCTTGTGTCTCCTCCTCCCAGTACTCTAAAATTTGATTAGAATGCTAAATTTCAGTTAAGAAGTTTTTTTTCTTCTTTTCTCTTAGCCTTTGTTTCTTTAATTTTTTATTATTAAATACTGTGGAATTTTATTGTTCAAGTACAGTTTTCTGCCCTTTCCCTCCACCCCTCACCACCACCCCACCATCCTCACCTCCCTACCCTGTTTCCACCCGTCCTCGTTTTTGTCCATGTGTCCTTTATAGTTGTTTCTATAAACCCTTTACTCTTTTCCCCCCATTATCCCCTCCGCTCCCCTTTCCCCTCTGGTTATTGTCAGTTTGTTCTTAATTTCAATGTCTCTGGTTATATTTTGCTTGCTTGTTTGTTTTGTTGATTAGGTTCCAGTTACAGGTGAGATCATATGGTATTTGTCTTTCACTTCCTGGCTTATTTCACTTAGCATAATGCTCTCCAGTTCCATTCATGCTGTGGCAAAGGGTAGGAGCTCCTTCTTTCTTTCTGCTAAGTAGAATTCCATTATGTAAATATACCATAGTTTTTGATCCATTCATTTACTGATGGGCACTTAGGTTGCTCCCAGACCTTGGCTGTTGTAAATTGTGCTGCTATGAACATTGGGGTGCATAGGTTGTTTTGGATTGGTGTTTCAGGGTTCTTAGGATATAATCCTAGCAGTGGAATTGCCGGGTCGAAAGTCAGTTGCAATTTTAGTTTTCTGAGGAAATTTCATACTGTTTTCCATAGTGGTTGTACTATTCTGCAATCCTTCCAGCAGTGCACTAGCGTTCCCTTTGTTCTACAACCTCTCCAACACTTGCTTATTGCTTTGTTAATGATGGCCATTCTCACTGGTGTGAAGTGGTATCTCATTGTGGTTTTAATTTGCATGTCTCTGATAGCTAGCAATGCTGAGCATCTTTTCATATGTCTCTGGGTCCTCTGTATGCCCTCCTTGGAGAAGTGTCTATTCAACTTCTTTTTTAGTAGACAAAGGTAACAGGGTAGCAGGAAGCAGTTCTTGGCCACTTTGAAAACCTGTGCTCCTCCAATCTAAATTCTAGGGCATTTCTCTGTCAGAGAGTGTCCCTGGTCCATAAGTGTGGGAAGGGTTCAGTGGGTGGTCCTGTCTCTAGGACAGAGGCTCTTAGATTTTGGTGAGCATGAGGATCAAGCTGAGGATTTTTTAAAAATGAAGATAGTTGACCTGTGTTCCTCAGCCCTAAATCAGAATCTCGGTTATGAAAATTGTTGCCTTGGAGCAAAAGAGAAATAAAAATAAAGAATTCATGGACAGGGACAACAGTGTAGTGATTACTGCGGGGAGGAGGATGGTGGAAGCAGAGGAAGATAAAAACAAAAAAAAAAAAGAAAATTGTTGGTCTGGACTTCTAAAGCTGAGAGAGTGAATATTGAGAGTGATCCTGGATAATTAGCAGTAGAAATTATCTTGCCTTCATTATATAAGGCTACCAGATCAAAAGGTGGAGCATAAAAGGTGAGGAAGATTTGGAATATGGAGAAGGTTTGTTGTTCTTCCTTTGTTCACTGTTGTGTCATTTGGCATAGTTGGTGATTTGGAAGGAAAATCTAAAAAATTCAAACAAACCAAAATAACAAAATGAGAGGTCATAGTTAAGTAATAAGCAAAAGAACAGAGAAAACTTTTTGAAGCTTTTTGACATTCCTTACTTTCATATTCTCTCAGAGAATAAACTGAATGATGTCATTTAAGAGAAAACCCCTCAACCAAAATATCTTCATTATCATACAGATCCATAATTAGTTCTCTGCTATTCTGAAGTACTGAAAGTTCTGAAATGTTTCTTCTTAGGGTTGTGAAAAACTTATTTGCTGGAAAAACTTGACCTAAACAAATACATTATTAATCATCATCTTTATATTACCCATTAGTGTAAATATTTGAATTTTGCTGTGGAATTGCTTTTTTTAAAAAAAAATTATTTAGTTCTGCCTCAGAATCTGCTGGAGGTGTTACACGATAACCTTGTGTATATATACTTTTACTTTCATAAAATATTTTAGAAGTTCTGAATTCCGAAACATTTGGCTCTGGGTTTGTTTGTTCATTTTTCTTTTTTAATTGGTAAAGTGTAAAAAAGTGACTCATCTTTATTTTTCCCAATGAGGTTCCAGTGTCCCATCGTGATTTAGACATAACCTTTCTCCTGCTGCATTAATAAGGGTGTTGGGCTGCGAATTAAGTTCCATGTTCAGGGTTTTAAAATGAGTGGTTTTAGATCTGTACTAGAAATTCTGCTAGTTCAATAGATTAGAGTTAGCAAATGAATAAACAGTGTGTACATAGCTGTGTCTTATTTTGTATTTGATTTGCCTGTACTGTTTGAAAATTTTATTTTTTATGCTGGAGTTACACTGGCTTATCTACTTCTAATCTTAATATAGCTATATGATGTTGGACAATTTGACCAACCTAATAGACTCTCTTTCTCTTCAGTAAGAGGCAAGATGATAGAATGTAGTGACAAATATTTCTAGGGTTCAAAACCAGTTCTACACTTATTGGTTATATGAGCTTCACCTATTTTACTTAACTTCTTTGTGTTACAATTTTTTATCTAGAAAATGAGCCTAATAATAATGTTATCTAGCTCATAGGATTCTTACGGAGAACAAATGAGTAAGTATACCTAAATTATTTCAAATAATGCCTGGCATATCATTAAGGCTGTAAGTATAAAGGCTATGCTATTGCATCCTCATTTTTTAGCCTATTACTTTGCAAATGATAGGGGCTTAATACTTATCAAATTGAATCGCATTGCCTAAAAATCCTTAAGGTTTATCTGTGATAACAGAGAGACCTGTATTATTGTTGGACTGTAGGTATGATAAATTAAGTGTTTCAATATTTGCTTAACATTCTTTTCTTTTTCTCTCAAATCCATCTTTTTCTTTTCCCAGAATCAAATAGGCGTATTACTGGAGGAGCTATGCAACTATCTTTTACACAGCTCACTATAGATTATTATCCTTATCACAAAGCAGGTGTGTATAGCAATTTTTTAAAAATACATAAATCTTGCTTTCAATTTATATAGCAAATTTATTTCATTTGTTTTATTTTGTTTTAATTTAATTTTAAAAGTAAAAAGAGATCAAAACACTGGTTATTTTCCCCCCATAGTACCTTACCAAGAAAATATAATTGCCATAGAGAATATTCGTGCATTTTATATTGAGGTTTAGGTAGATTGTTAGAAAGTGTAATTGTTAGATATTGGTAATATTGTAAATAATTTAAAAGTGGTTTTTTTTTTTTAAGATTTTATTTATTTATTTTTAGTGAGAGGGGAAGGGAGGGAGAAAGAGAGGGAGAGAAACATCAATGTGTGGTTGCCTCTCGCACACCCCCTACTGAGGATTTGGCCTGCAACCCAGGCATGTGCCCTGATTGGGAATCGAGCCAGCAATACTTTGGTTCACAGGCCAGCACTCAATCCACTGAGCCATACAAACCAGGGCTAATTTCAAGCTTTTTAAAAACGAGAACACAGAGGACACATATTTGTGCTATTTTGTTAATTGTGACAAAATTATTAATCAATGTGTTTGAATTTTTAAGTGATATATTTAGATATTAAAAAATAAAAAAAATATATAAAGCCAAAGGGTAACAGTGATTTTTAGCTAAGATGTAGGAGTCCATGAACTTTTTAAAAACTTTTTTATGTTTTCTAAATTTTATCAATAAGTAAGATTTAATAGGGTCCTTAATAATTGAATATTGATGGATTCTTTATCCCAAATAATAAAAACAATAAGAATGTACATTTTTGGCCAAATTAAGTAATTTGACCTTACACCTATCTCTGCATTTTGGTGGCATGTGGCTTTTTGTTTTTAATTCAAACAAATAACTACAGTGAGTTTTCTGGGTTACATATACCTAAAATATTTTTAACTATAGAAATCATTTGTATTGGAAAGTAAAACTTTCAGTTATGAAGTAGATTTTATTTTCTTCATCTTTTATATACATATTACTTTCCTTAGTTGCTACAGAGAAACCTAATATCCTGATGTTTATCTTGAGAATTTTTATTTATTTATTCAGTTTTTAATAATCCTCATCAGTTTTATGGATAAGTTTGTTAATCACTTTACAATAGATCTTTGATGAAAAGACTGTTTTCTTTGATGATTGAGCATTCAGTGAATGTTCACTAGCAATGCTGCTTCTGATTGAAACTTTGAGTGATGTCTTACCAAGGGGAGGGTCTACATAGAAACCCTCCCTGATTATTTCCTTTTGACCTTTTGACTTTCTTTCCCTCTATTCTAAATGTTTGCTCATATTTTCTAGGAAGGTTAAGCAAAGGCTGTAAATTTATTGGAAAATTGAAGAATCTCTTGAGAATATGAATAAATCTGATTAGAAGCATAACAGAATAAATGAAAATTGTGTACTTTTTAGTGAAGTTTCTTGTTTATTCATTTTATAGGAGATAGCTGTAATCATTGGATGCATTTTAGTGATGCAACGAAGACAAAAAATGGATGGGCCAACGAATTGTTACAGGAATTTGAGAGCAATGTTGAAATGCTTAAACAGGCTATAAAGGATCATAATGTAGGTTCACCTCCTAAATCACCAACACATGCCTCTCCCCAGCACACACAAACAGGTATTTTATCGATAACAACATTATGTCATTTCCCTAACATTAATTGTGTATGTGTTCATAATATGATATTTTCTGTAAATAAGTATTATGTTTAATTAAATGTATAAAAATTCTGCATTTTATTCAGACCATAGGCATAGAATATTTTAGACTCTTTAATGACTAGTAGATTTCTCTTTTTAATGATTATTTCAGACAAAAGTTATGTGTGAATATCTTAAGTGTGATATAAGTGTGATTCCTGTTTAAAGAATAATCATCATGAAAAGGTAATCATCACAATTTAACATTTCTGTATCAGTTTACATATAGTGTTTCCATATATATTATCTCATTTGAGAAATCAGAGTTCATCTGTATTTCTAGCAGCTGTCAGAATAGTGAAAGGGTGACTGTTAGAAAAAAATTGCAATAAATTGAAAAGAGTTTTTGTTTCTCACAGAGAGAGATGCAGCTCTGAAAGGGACTTCCAGAACACCTTCAGTATTATCTCAACAATCCAAAGCTAAGTTGATGTCTAGTTCTCTTGTGGTTAGACTTGCAGATTTCAATATATATCAGGTATGTTTTACTTTTTAGGTTAAATCTTCTGATAAATACATTTAGTATCTCCTGCAACTCTTATAAACTAATGCCACCCTTTTGTTTAAAAACATTTGACCAAATTTGTGAAATGTGTAAACTAAGTAGGACAGAAAATATCAATTCTTTAATTTTTATGTATATAGTTTTCTAGGATTAGCCACAGTGTGAGGTTAAGGTTACAGTGCTTTAGATTGCCAAATCTGCACAAGACTTCTGATACCAACTGCAAGTTCAGGGGTTTCCATAAACTGTCCACAGATTCAAGAATTTACTGGAAAAATTCACAGAACTCGTTGGAATCAATCATACTCAGAGTCACATTTATTAGAGGAAAGAATACAAATTAGAGCCACCCAGAGGAAGAGAACATAGGGAGGAGTCTGGGAGGGTTCTAAATTCAGAGCTTGCTTTTCTTCAAGACACATTAGCCTCTTGGCATGGTTGTGTAACAATATGTATGAAATATTGCCAACCTAGTTGAATTCAGTCTCTAGGTGGTTTAGTACCAGGTGACCCAAGGTATCCAACTTCTAAACACTACTATGGCAAAGTTGGCCAGTCCCACTCTGAGACATCTTGTGAGCATAAGCTATCACTTGTGGCCCCAGGGGTCTACCATAAATAGGAAATTCCAGTAGTTTAGAATTGCTTCCCAGGAGCAGGGACAAAGGCCAGACCTCTCTTTGTAGTCTAGATTCCGTATCACACAATTGTTTTAATGGAAGAAAGTAGGATACCTTTTGCTTTATCAAACTACCATGTATTAGCTATACTGTCAACATAATTTTATAGCTAAGATTTCTATGTCCCATTCACAACTAAAAATCTTACTCAGGCTGTAATCTTACAATATAGTTTAACCTCATAGTTCTTGAGACTAACACAATAGAGTCTGTTATGATTTGAATGTAACTTCAACTCCTTAACAGTTAAGGAGTAGTTACATTTATACAGTCCTAAAATTATTTTGGCCTGTTGAAGGCAACCGTGAGGCTGATGTAGCCCCCGGTGAAAATGAGTTTGACACCCCTGCAATGCACTATATGACCTATTTTTAAAAAATAAAAGAAAGGATTTCAGATGTATGTTAGCATTTATGAATTATTCTCATTTATTTTGATAAGCCCGTGCCTTTGAGACTTAGTTTTATTTGAAAAGTTTTCATTTTACTTAGTGGCTTTCAATTGGGGCCGATTTTGCTCCTCAGGGAACATTGGGGGACTAGTCTGAGAACAATTTTGGTTGTCACAGTTGGAAGGGGTAGCTACTGACACTGGTGGGTAGAGACCAATGATTCTCTTGAACATTCTACAATGTACTGGACAGCCTCCACAATGAAGACTTATTGGGCCCAAAATGTCAATAGTGTCAATTTTGGGAAACCTTGGTTTAACAGTTTTTGTGCTATTACTTCCTTTTTTACATTCTATATATAATGCATCTCATTTAAAGCAGACTTTAAATTATGAGATTTAATAAATTCAAATGGTAATGAGTTACTCATAATCTCAAATGATTGAAGGTGAAATACAGTAAAGAAATCCCACATACACAAATATACCAAAACAAAACAAAACTAACCGGGAGGCAATAAAATAGTATGTTCGTTCCATCTTGAATAACTTTTTAACTATTAAAGGAAAAAATAAGCTGTTGTCTATAAAAATAAGTTGACACTTTGAGTCAGAAAGGATTTATTTCCATATATACAGAGAAAAGCTTCTTGATTAGATAATGTAAGAAGGGGACTTAAATTTGTAAAGACTACAAATAATCAAAAGGTTTGAGTAGCAATTTACACAAGAGAAAACATAAATAAACCATTGAAAAAGCATTTAACTTTGTATGAGAAATATACATGTTTATTGAATGAATGAAAAAAATAACCTTGAGATACATTTCTGGATCTACTAAGAAAGCATAAATGAACGAAATTGATAAAACTATTGGTTGAACTTTGGGGGAAACTAGTATATACATTTTTAATGTAATTGTAAATTATCAGTTTTGGGGATAACCTTAAAGCTAATAGTTCTTCTTGTAAAAATACTTTAAACTATTTTAAGAGGCATTTATAATTATATTACTTTTATTGTAAAATATACATAACAATTTGTCATCTTAATTATTTTTAAGTGTATGATACCTTGGCATTAAGTATATTCACATTGTTGTGCAACTCTCACCACTGTCCGTCTTCATAATTTTATTATTTCAAACTGAAATTCTGTATATAACTATATTATTTCTCATAATAAAGAAATTTGGGTAGAGAATTATTATACAGTACATAGTGGAGAAGCATTCTAGTCCTGAGGACTTAGAACCGTGTTCAGACTCTGTCGTTTACTTACTTGCTTTATCTTACAGAAATATTCTGTTATTTTAAGGCTCGAAATGATAAGTTTGCAAGGAATGTTGTACAGCGTTGATTTCTGTAATTGATAAGAATCCAAAGAGGTGATTGTTTTCTGAATAGTTAATTTTAAAACGATTTAGTGTGCACCCTGACTGGCGTGGCTCAGTGGGTTGGGAGTCTCCTGCAAACCGAAAGGTCGCTTTTTAGATTCCCCGTGAGGGCACAGGCCTGGGTTGTGGGCCAGGTCCAGGCGGGGTGCACAGCTGATGAGTGTTTCTCTCGCGCATCAATGTTTCTCTCCCTCTCTTTCTCCTTTTCTTCCCCTCTCTCTAAAAATAAATACAGTCTTTAAAAAAATGCCCAATAAAAATAATTTAATGTGCAGTTAAATACATAATAAAGTTTTCATTGGAAATTAACTGTTAATTAATTATTGGAAGCAGTTTTTAATACTTTGATGTCTGTGTTGCATAAATTCTTTGGAAAGTGCCTTATTCAGTGTTATTTTAGGAAACTTACTTATTTTTTTCAGGTCTCTACAGCAGAACAATGTCGTTCTTCCCCGAAAAGTATGATTTCTTGCAATAAAAAATCCCTATATCTTCCACAAGAGATGTCAGCTGTCTATATAGAATTCACAGAATATTATTATCCTGATGGAAAGGATTTTCCAAGTAAGAGGGTTTCCTATTTTATTATTATTATTTGTCCATTACTTGGGAAGTTTTTTTTTTCTTGCCAAGTTCCTGACTTTTATAAATGTGCAAAAAATAAGTCCATTGTTCTTTACTCTTGTTGTTATTGTATGTAGTATACAACTGTGGGATAGAATTTTCATGTATTATTTTTTCATATGTTCTTTTCCCTCACTAACTTGTAGCATACTTGATGTCAGGAATTATGTAGAATTCACACTTCATTTTATCCCTGAGTTTTGACACATTTTTTTTTTAAAGATTTTATTTATTTTCAGAGTGGGAAGGGAGGGAGATAGAGAGAGAGAGAAACATCAGTGTGCGGTTGCTGGGGGTTATAGCCTGCAACCCAGGCATGTACCCTGGCTGGGAATCGAACCTGCGACACTTTGGTTCGCAGCCCGCGCTGAATCCACTGAGCTACACCAGCCAGGACAACACATTTTTATACCTAGTAGCTGTTTGTTTTATTAAAGTTAGGCCATTTATAGAATAAAATTTTTTCCTTCAGCAAAACTCCATTTATATTTCTGCTATATAAAGTAAAACACTATATTTCATTGAAGAAATGAATAATGATGTTATCCCTTTAGCTCCAGAGAATTCTTTGGGCTGGTTTTTAAAGCCCATATAATATACCTTGGACAACTTTTAGCACTTGAGTTAGAAACACTGAATTACATGAATTTTTATTTGTAAGCTATTTTGGCTGCCTAAAGTTAAAATGATTATGTATCTGTGTTCTCTGAATATTAAAATTATGTGTTACTTGTCTTGGTTTATCTGGGAGTCCTTCAAACTAAAATTTGCCTTTGTTTATGTGGTACCTTTTTCATTATTATAATTAAAAATGAAAGTTGAGGGGAAAAAGTGTTTAAATGAAATAAGTTATGTTATTTGGAAGACAGAAATTTTATGTCTTCTCTTAAAAGTGGAACTCTGGGATAGATTGACCTACTTTGCCTGTCTGTTTAATATTGACTGAATGTAGGCTTTTAGTTTCAAAGGGAGTTTCTGATGCTCATGCCTTTGTTGTTATCTAAAAAGAAGGTAGCCTGGGCATTACTTTGGAGAAACAGATGTGGAACTATTTTACTTCTTTAATTTTTGTTTGTGCCAGACTTTTGTAATCTAATCCTTACCATTTTATGCCTTTCAGTAGTCTTGTATATTTCTCATATGTTTGTTTCTTCTACCTTCCTGACTAAAATAATGAGAAAATTAAGATAGATTCAAACATTTGCTCAGCACCTTATGAAGAGTAAAATGGCACAGCTGAAACTCACCCATGGGTCTTTTAAATACAAGTTCATTTTCCCCCCACTGTTTTCCCGGGACATTCACAGCCGTTCTTTTGTAATTGGGTAATCCTGTTGTTTCCAGCCCTTTCCCACACTCCCAAAATTGTTTTCCTTAAATAATGCATCATTGAACTAGTGATTTTTCTTCAGAGTTAAGACTAGTTTCCAGGATTTCTAACGTCTAATCCAGGTTTATTTCTATCAGCTTTTTAATGTGTACCAGAAGAATTATCCCATTCTATAATCGATACATTTTTTCCTGATAAAAATATAAAATTTTTTCCCAGCAGTTTATCCTAGCCCTCTAGATAGCTGGGAGTGGATGTTTTAACTCTTTTTAATTTAACTTTCTATTATGGAAAATTTTCAAACACACACCAGTGTAAAGAGGGTTGTATGTTGAATCCCCATCTATAGGCATTCATTTTTAATCCTCATGTTTCATGTCTGTGTTCAACTTTAAGAACATAACATTTTAAATAACTATAAATGCAATATGTTAATTATATTAGAAAAAAGAAAATGCCCAAAATAAAAAATGCCCATGAGCCTATAATTTCGAGACTACTCCTCCCAAAATGTCAATGTATTAGTTTGCTAGCACTGCCATAACAAAGAACCACAGACTGAATGGTCCGAACAACAGAAATTTATCTCTTCACAGTTCAGGAGGCTAGAAGTTCTAAATTATAGTGTGGGCAGAGTTGCTGCCTCAGACCTCTCTCCTTGGCTTGTTGATGGCCATCTTCTCATGTGGTCTTTCCTCTGTTCGAGTCTGTTTCCTAATCTCTTCTTGTGATACATATCGCATTGGACTAGGGCCCGCCCATATGAACTCATTTTTACCATAATTGCCTCTTTAAAAGCCCTGTTACTATATACAGCCACATTCTGAGGTACTGAAGATTAGAACTTCAACATATCAATTTTAAGGGGACATAGTTCAGATTGTAACAATAAGTAGAGTGTTGGTAGTTCTGTTTTTAATGTATGTTTCTTTTACATATTTGATTTATATCCTGTTTTTTTTTTCCCTTAATGATAACAGCATATTTCTGGTTTCTACAAGTTTATTTTGAATGTCTTTAATGGCCACATAGTAATCTATTTCATAAGTAGACCCCTATTAGAAACTGCATATTCATCTTTCTACTGCTTAGTGCATCAGGTTTCTTCCTCTGCCTGAGATCTGCGGTCAGGGTTCTTCTTTCCTTTTGTGCTCTAGCCTTGGGGACTACATTTGCTGTCTAGTGTTCTCTGTGGCTGTCATCATCACTTATTCTGTTCTTGAGATGCCTTCTTCTTTCTTTCCATCCAGAGTGTGACGTGACCTCCTCAGCATCCCACTTCCTTGCTATTTCCAAAAACCAGCTTCTCTATCTACATCCCTAGTGAATGTCTCTGTTGGACTTGAATTACAATTTCTCTGCTTTCATGTCTGTCTATGAACTTTTTTTAAGGGAAGGAACCATGCTCTGTTTTTTAAAATGAATTCTTTGTGCTTAACACAATATACAAGATATAGTTGGCATTCATTGAATCTTTGCTGAAAGAAAAGGGAGTGAGAAAAGAGGAAGAAGAGAAGAACGGAAGGAAGGAGAGAGAAGGGAGGGAGGAAGGGAGGAAGGAAAAGAAAAAAGAAAAGAAAGAAATCCTGTCTATTCAGGATTTGTTATAATGCTGTTTCTACTGGTCCCATCCCTTGGGCTTATTTTTCTTAAATTAATAAAGCTGAAAAGTTCTAGATATGCATACTATTTGCTTTCATAGCAGTAAATAGGCGTGCATTTTTGGAATAAAATATCTTCATCATGGTGATCTAAAAATGATACTGGCTTTATGATACAAATATATGTGGCTTTTAGGAAGTGATATATGCTCCAATTGTAAATATTAGTTTAACTTTTATTTGCACTTGAACATTTGTCTAACCCCTGGGCATTCTAATAGTTTGGGGAGCTATGAAAATGAGTGTATTCATTTGATTACTTCAGAGATACTTGAGTTTTTACTTTGCACCAAGCACTATTGTAAATTTAGGTAGGATTAAGGGCAGAGTAAAACTATACATGGTCCTTCCTTTCAAAGAGATTTGCTTGGTTTACTAGTTCTTTCATTGTGGAGGATTCAGATTAAGATTCAGATAGTAAAAGTCCTTACAGAAATAAGTGACTAAGGATCATAACTAATATAATAATTTATTTAAAAGGTAAGGTTTTTTGAAGTTTGCTTATTGGTGACTATAACATTAGAAAAAGAAATCCAAACAGTATTTCCCATTTAAACAGTTAGTTTTAGATTCAATTGTATATTTTTCAATTAGTGTAACAGAAAAAATGATTTTTGTCTATCTAAACGTGTTTGCTGTCACCTATATGTGTCACTTTAATTTTGTAAATAACATCTGAAAAACTTTTTACCTTAATTTAAAAAGAATAAAATGTGTTAAAAATGTCTTTTCTGTTCTCAGGGAAGATTTAGAACTATTGGTTTATTAAAAATCTTTTTAAATTTTTTTTCTCTACAGTTCCATCTCCCAACCTTTATAGCCAGCTGAATGCACTACAGTTTACTGTGGATGAAAGAAGTATTCTATGGTTAAATCAATTTATATTGGATTTAAAACAGAGCCTTAATCAATTTATGGCTGTATACAAGTTGAATGACAATTCAAAATCTGATGAACATGTTGACATTCGAGTTGATGGCTTAATGCTAAAGGTACCATATAAACAAGTGGCTTCAGGAACAAAACCATTTTTTACAGAAGAAAAGTTAACACCATTACAATTTCCAGGATTTAAAGGGGCATTCAAATTTAACTCAGCTTCATTGTGTCTTAATTTTGATTTTTAAATTTCAGTTTTAATTTTCAATTATAGAAGCTTTAAGAGACTTTTTTCCCTGCTTCTTTCACTTTCTTTTAGTTTTTTTCTTTGCTCATCCATTTGGAGGTAAGCAGTAGAAGTAAAATTTACATCAGTCATTTTGTTCCTACTTCTTACCAGAGATGGTAAAAATTTTCTTTTCAAGAGGGTAAATAATGCAATGAAGCTTTTAAGTTAAATTTGTGTTTTATGTATTCACATTTTGTTAATAATATCCAAAGATAATAGAAAGTTGCTCAGTATTACAGCCAGGTGATTGGTAATCTGAATTCCATGGACATTTAAACTTTAAAGAAAGGAAATTTAAAAAAAAAAGTAGAATAAGACTTGGGCATGGATGGAAATTTAGTGTCGCTGGTAGACTAAATTTATGTACTTTTAATTTCTCTTCTGTAAATTGAGGTTAATAATTAGCAATCACATTATAGAAATGTTTAAAAAATCTTATAATATTCACTGTAGAGACACATTTTATAACACTTATAATTTAAGATACAGTTATATAATGATCTTTTACATTTTCCGAGTGTGGCCAGTGTTAAAACCAGTCACTTTTAACTCTTTGATGTGAATATTTTAAGGATTTGGGTTAATTATCTCTGGAAAATTATTTTAGTAATTGGACCTATACATTTATTAATACTTTTCTCCCAAAGACATGATTCTAATGATATCTGTTGAGTCATTCCATTTACTCATCTATTTATCCCCCAAATTGCTTGAATCTAAAATATCCTAATAAAATTTTTTCTTTTTTAAACTTGACACTTTCTTCTGTATGCTCATAACAGAGTAAGCATTTAGTAGTGCTGGTTTGATATAATTTTGTTCTTTTTATTTTGTGATATGTAGTATGCAAATGTATTTTTATGTTGTGTACATTTTTCATCATTTCTGTTTGTTCTTTAACCTTCTCTTAGTGGCAGATTATTTAAGTCTTTTATACTCAGTTTAATAAAAAGATTTGGGGGAGAGAAAGTTACTGTTTTATATCTGGTTAGGAAAGTAGTATTTTGGGTGGGAATGTCAAAAAGTATTGTTTTTTACTATCTTATCTTCAAAATACTGTGGATTGTAGTTAGACTAGATTCATATGTTTTCTCTTCTAGTTTGTTATTCCTTCTGAGGTGAAATCTGAATGTCATCAGGATCAACCGCACGCAATTTCTATTCAGAGTTCTGAAATGATTGCCACAAATACAAGGCACTGTGCAAACTGTCGACATTCCGATCTAGAAGCCTTGTTTCAAGACTTTAAAGATTGTGACTTTTTCAGTAAAACATATACCAGCTTTCCCAAATCTGGTGACAATTTTAATCTTCTGCATCCAATCTTCCAAAGACATGCTCATGAACAAGATACCAAAATGCATGAAGTTTACAAAGGAAACATTACTCCCAAGTTGAATAAACACACTCTTAAAACTTCTGCTGCCACAGATGTTTGGGCTGTATATTTTTCTCAATTTTGGATAGATTATGAAGGGATGAAAAGTGGAAAAGGACGACCGATAAATTTTGTAGACTCTTTCCCTCTTTCCATTTGGATTTGTCAACCCACAAGGTATGCACTGTCTCAAAAAGAGCTGCAGACTTGTAATCAAGTATCTCTAAACACATCACAAAGTGAATCTAGTGATTTGACTGGCCGATTAAAGCGGAAAAAGCTCTTGAAGGAGTATTATAGTACAGAGTCTGAGCCCTTGACAAATGGTGGTCAGAAATCTTCAGACACATTTTTAAGATTTTCCTCTTCATCATCAGATGCAGATATTCATGTCCTGGTTCATGTTCATAAACACATCAGTATGCAGGTCAATCACTACCAGTATCTGTTGCTGCTTTTCCTCCATGAGTCACTCATTCTGCTTTCGGAGAACTTAAAGAATGATGTAGAAGCTGTGACTGGCAGTCCTGCTAGTCAGACATCTATTTGCATTGGAATTTTACTTAAAAGTGCAGAAGTGGCTCTTTTGCTACACCCAGTGAATCAAGCAAATACTCTCAAGTCTCCTGTTTCTGAAAGTGTGATCCCTGTTTCTGATTATTTGCCTACAGAAAATGGAGAGCTCTTGTCTTCAAAGAAGAAACAAGTTACTAGTGGTATAAATCAAATTAGAAGTGCAACTGTTAATCATAAGTCAGACAACAGATCTATGAGTGTTGACCTTAGCCATGTCCCTTTGAAGGATCCTTTGCTTTTTAAATCAGCTAGTGACACAAATCTGCAAAAAGGCATTTCTATTCTGGATTATTTATCAGATAAAAATTTAGAGAAAATAAGTGAAGATGAAAGTAGTGGAATTCTTTGCAAAAGTGGCTCAGGGGAAATTGGATTAGAAACAGGCGACAGAAAGGATTTATCTTGTACAGATTCAAATAGTGTCTTAAAATACAGAGAAGATTCAAGGGTGCTGCCATTTGATAATTATGGTAATCAAAACATGCTTTCAAATCGTGTAACTAGTAAAGGAAATGAAGCCATAGAATCTATCTTTAAAGCTGAAGATTTGCTTCCAGAAACAGCTTCACTCTCTGAGAACCTGGAAATTGGTAAAGAAGAAGCACCCACAGTTAGAACACTTAAATCACAGTCATCTTTAAGGTAACAGTGCACTATTGGAATGGGAGGCATGGTGTTTGGAGTGTGTGTGTGTGTGTGTGTGTGAACATATTTTGTTTTTGGACCGAAAACCTCATGGCAAAACATGACATTGTGAGAGTTAACACATGGAAGAGAAGGTTTTTCAAAATATGAAAATATTTCAGCTTAGACTTATATAATTAAAAAACTACAGATAGTGTATACTCTCTTTTTCAGACTGTAAGACTAACCTCCCCCCACCCCCCATTTGGGAGGAATAATGGTTATTAATGCTGCTGTTGAGTTCTGTTTACATTTACATTGGTGAAATATTATGCTATTAAATATGTTACCACATTTTTTTGCTTCAAATTTTTTTTTCCTATTTTCTTTGTCTAAAACTTAGGTACGTCTTATGGTCCAAAAACATGGTACATATTTTTATTTTGTTAGAAATATTTTTAGAAATTTTGACCTTATATGAGATGATTTTCTAGTAGTTTTGTTTGTTAACACCTAAAAGAATAGTGCCCACCAAATCTTGTTCCACTCCGTATTTCTTATAGGAACAGGAAAAGAAGCTCCTCTCAAACCTCGTTGGATACCATTTCACTTGACAGCATGATATTGGAGGAACAATTATTAGAAAGTGATGGAAATAATAGTCATATATTCCTGGAAAAAGGTAAAGCAATACAGTAAAGAATTTATTTTACATGTACACACACAGAACACACATTTTTTAGAAGTGACATTTAAGTAGTTTAAGTATTTTTAGTTATATTCAGTAATTAATTACATTGCCTAAAAGACATTTTATTTATACACACATACATGCACAATACACAAAGACTCTTGTACCTAATTTTATAATAGTTGCTGCGTTTAACCAGATACTTTTCTCTCACTCTCTCTTTCCCTCTCTCTCTGTTTTGTGGCTGACTCTAACTCTTATTTGTATTGTATATACATCATAAAGCAGACAGCATTAAACTACTAGCTCTCTTACAGAGACATCTATATCTGGAATTTTGATTAGGTGACCTTAATTAGCAGGATAGGTTCTCAATTATGTGGTCCTAGGACTGGAGTCCAGACTGGATCTACTTATTTCCACACCAGGATTTTCTTACTTATATGATTATATCTGATGGGACTGCATGATTGCCATTTTTAAAAATGTTTTTTAATTTATTGATCAATTTGAGAAAGAAAGAGAAATATTGATTTTGTTGTTCTACTTGTTTATGCATTCATTTGTTGAATCTTGTATGTGTCCTGACCAGGGATTGAACCTGCACCTCCTTGGTGTATTGGGGCAACATTGATATTTGGCCAGGTACAGAGGTTCCTAATGTCCCAGTAAAGACCACTAGGAATGACTTAGAATTACATGCATTCCAACCTCTAAACATTGGGGACTTTGTGAACAGGAATAAAAGCATGGGCACGCAGTAGTTGTCCCAGACACTGAAGCCTAAGGGACAAGAGACACATACAAATTACTTTGTGTATATAGAGTCATAAGCCTATTGGTAGTTGAAGACATCTTCATCTTCAGTAAGGAAAGACTCATAGCTTCATAAACTGAAGCTTAAAGAAATTAGTATACAGCCAGGAAGCAGTAGAAGTAGATTTGGAACACAGCTAGTCTGACTCAAGAGCCTAAGCATTTAACCAACCAGTATGCTGTACTAGCTCTCTGGACATGGGAAATGTCTAGAGAAAAAAAAGCCGTGATCTAACCCTGTTATAGGCAATTTATGGCAATATCCTTTTCAACATACTCTACCAATTAAATGGAGAAGAGGTACTAATGTGGGTCATAAAATCTATATTAGATCCACAGAGCTCAATTGCTCATTCCTCTGCCCCCTTTATGGTTTTAAATCCTACTTTAGCAGAGGATTTATGTTCTGTGATCAAAATTTAATTTAAAAACAGTGTCCCTTTAGAAAATATCCCTACTTGGTCTCAAAAGGCATCAGTGTTTTCTTGTTATTGCTGAATATTAAATCATAAAAGTGACTGTCACTCAATTTGGAAAATAAAGACAACTGCAATTTTAAAAATAAATGAACTACAGTGCTCCACAATCTAGTAATATCAGCTGTCATTTATTCTATAAATTTTTATATGTATTCACATATATATTTGGTATTATATGAACATACATGATTTTTAACCTTTTTATCACACATATGCATTTTCTAATATTATGTAATGAAATGACCTTTAATAATTTCCCAGATCCTGGATGCTTAGATTGTTTATAGTTTCACAGTTATAAAATGTTATAATTAATATCATTCATAAAGTTTGCTTGCATTTCTAATTACTATCTTAAAGTAGATTCCAGCAGTAGACTATTTTTAGGATCTAGAAAAAGATCAAGGCATTATTTCTGTGTGTCACATTTAAATATGTGACTGTATAGTCCTAATTCTCCTGAAATGTAATAATTTTCTTTATGTCACAGGAATTGTTTTTCATTAGGAACACTCTTGCTTTGTTTTTTGTTTGTTTTAATTTTTATGTGAAATATATGAATATGTTCTCAGTGTAAAAAAGAAGACATTATGGAAATACAGTGAAAAATGAAGGTGTCACTTTAAACCACCCTCTCTCTGTCCCTTGATGCCTTACCCAGAAACATCTGAACTTTTGGGATGTACTGTATACTTTCAGGCCTGTTCCTCTACATATGTATATGTTTATACGTATATACTCTAACATATCTGTGTACAAATAGATACACATGTGTAGGTATGTTTGTGTACATATTTTTGAATATATTTACATGTTTATATGGAGAAACAAAGACATGCTGGGCTGCGACCCCACCACAGGCACGTATCTAGTCCCCCCACTTCGATTCTTGTCGATTTTCAGTTCATTCTTCATTCCATAGGAAGAATACTCTTTTTAAAAATGTAAATACTATCATGTTGATTTCCATTTTAATCCTGATAACTTCTCACTGCTATAAGGCTAATAAGTTTAAAAACCTTAATGTTACTGACAGTGCTCTGCGATATGACCCTTGCTTAACATTTCTGCTGTTCTCCTATGTGCTTACTACACTTTAAATATACTTTACTATATTCAGTCTTTTTTTTTCAGTTTCTTCATGGTGACAATTTTTGTTTCCACTGCAGGGTCTTTGTACTTGTGCATAGAGAATGCTATTTTTTTTTTGTTTGTTTGTTTGCTTTAACTTAGTACTTTATCATGGAAGCCTCCTTAACCCCTAACTATTAGGAACTCCCTGTAAAATGGGAGTTTATCATCTCCTCATGCCATAGGAGTATTTATATACATCTTCCCTGGCACTAAAAATAGTTTTATTCATTCTTTCAATGGATAATTTATTGAGCACCTACTGTGTTGCCAGGCACTGGGTTAGAAGCTCATTATATAGTAGCAAATGTAATAAAAATAATGAGATCATGTTTTGTATGTCTTTGGTTTTTCTAATCTAATTTCTAATGATTTATTTTAACAGTATTTAAAAAGTGTTGATCTGTGACAGACACTTTAAGAAATATCTTTAACCATAGGAATTTGCGAAACACTGAAATATAGCACATTGAGGAATTAAGGCAGGTAGATAAGGATGGGGAATGATTACATTGATGATAGTGGCATCAACTTCATGTAGAAGATAATTAGAAGTTACTTTAGGGTACTGAAAAGAAAAATTAAGGGGCAGAACTGGACCTGTTGGATATAGGACGGAGTGAAGGGCCCCCCGCTGGCTGACCATGACCCTGCTAGTTCCATAGGCACTGTGCTTGCATGGATCCAGAACACGGGCTGCGGTCACTGCAGTAGATTTCTTGTTATACTGTCTAAGTTTAGGGCTTAAGTATCTCTGACATCTTATTGTGGGAAGTTAGTCCTTATTACAATATTTGCTAACAAATCACAGAATAATCTTTCTGTGTTTGTTGTGCTTTAAACAAGGCTATGTTTAGGAAAGAGTTAAGGGATAGCCCATCTTGGTTAGATAATGGTGATGTTTTTGGATCATCTGTAAAACTGGCTTAAATTTATTAGTTTATTTTGTACTATTTCAGGTATTAAAAAGAATTCGAGTACAAGTTATCAGAGCCCAGCAGACAGTGCAAGTGCTAGTGTAAACCTGCAGAACTACGGAGAAGCCTCTCCAGATGCCATCAGTACAGCTTCAGAGGGCGCTCAAGAAAACCATAACGACCTGGTAAGCGTCTCAGAGAGGCTCTATGAAGAGAAATGCCTCCAGCTTCTTCTCACATTTAATATGCTCATATTTTAAGACAGTGTGTAAGATGAATTGCCTTAGATTGCGGGTGATTCACTTTGTTCTCTCTTGAAAATTCTCTTTCTACCCTTGAAAATTCTTCCCTCTTACTGATTTGTTTTCCTCTGAATTTTACTTAAAAAAATTTTTGGTTTTGTATTGAGGAGGGAAAGTTCTATCTTTTTTTTTATCTTTTATTTTTCAATCTTTAGTTTCAATTTAAATCTACTTTGAAACCATTTGATAGTAAGGGTGGTAGTTTCTATGAGGGGCTTTTTACAGAAGAACTATATTACTGGTTTACTTGAGCCTTCTTCACCCAGTGAAATATTCTGTGGATGACTTAGAGAATGTGTTCAGCTTTTAATGGAAATAATTTTACACAGAAATGTCATGTAATTAGTGTTCATGGTCAAAAATTCTTTTCTTGACTGAGTAAGAGGAAAGGGAGCTGAAGTTTATGACTATAATGTAAGAACCACATTAATTTGATCACAAGTATATATTTGGTTTATTAGGCTACATTTGTATTTTTAGAGGTTATAGTATTAGTTTCCAGTGCTATTTTTAAAATTTTGTTTTAATTACTTGGTATACTAACATTATTTATGCAATCATTGTTAGATGTCCGTCGTGATGTTTAAAATTACTGGTGTTAATGGGGAAATTGACATACGAGGAGAAGATACAGAAATCTGTCTTCAAGTGGACCAAGTAACACCGACTCAGTTGGGCAATATCAGCCTTCGGCATTACCTTTGTAATCGTCCAGTAGGTGAGACTTTAATATGACCTAAACTTTTATTTTTCTGTGCATATGACTTTATACATATGTATTATTTATACATACTATGTATACAAAAACCAAAAAATGACTGAACATAGAATTTTAAAACTAGACTGTTGTTCTATATGCATCCCTACCTCTTCTCAAATTGTATAATTTTAGATATTTCCAGTTGCACAATTTTTTTTTTCACTTTATAGCTCACTTAGTACCATGCTCTATGACTTTTTCATGTTCTTTTTAACCGAGGAATTCATTTTGAAATGCCTTGAATGTATGGGTTGTATAGTCAATGCTATCTAATACCTTATTTTTCCCAGCTTTCTCATTTGGTTGTTAGAAGGATAAAAAAAACAAACAGGAAGGGAGAAAAAAAGGGAGGGAGGGAAGGAAAAGGAAGGAAAGGGATACATGGAAAAAGAAAAAGAGTATAGCATTAACATTTCAAACATTAATAGACATATGAACAAAGATTATATTTGATTGCTTTTGTTTGCTTGTGTTTGTTTCTCTGTAATGTGTGGATTTTGGGTTCCTTTAATAGGAAACCTTCATATAATAGTTTTATGGCATAAGAAATAGTAGGGAGGAGCGGTTTTTGACTAATGAAGATTTTGTTTATTTCAACTTGAAGTAAATACTCTTTTTGTTTGAAGTTATTTCTGGTTCTCAGCTCCCTGGAGTGTGTATTGGTGTATGTATGTGTAGATATAGGTATAGATCAGTAAAAGATAATGTAAAGTAACATTTACTGAATTGTTTGTTTCTAGTAGCTCTTATTTTTAAATAGGTTAATTAACTTGTATTTTTCTTGATATGGGAAAAAACACATCTCAATACATATTCACATCCATGCTGAAGGAAAAGAAGCATTTTCTGTCATGAATTTAATTAGTGGGATCATCTTGTGAGGACCTACAGGACAGATAAGTTTGATTCCTCAGTAACTGAAACTGCTTTGCCTTTCCAAAACAGTTAGTTAGCTTTAACTCATGGATTTTATGAATTGTGAAGTGGCTATTTTTCTCTTTGGTGCTAGAAAGCTTATTTTTGGTCAGCCTTTGGTACAGAAATTTAAATAATGTTTTGAGTTTTCAACCCTCCTACCTAGTTTTCCCTCTTTCTTTTTATCCTTATTTTTTTTCTGCTTATGTTTTTTAAAATCTGATTATGCCATGTGCATGCTGTCTCCTATTCTTTTGGGAGGTAGGTAAAATAAAATAAATAGTTATTACCATAAGGGCCAGTTTAATTCAGTGGTTCCACTAGAAAATTTTCTTTTTTAAAATTACATATTCTGTGGATGCTTTATTGAAATTCTAAAATATATTTTTGAACTTGAGTATTTATATCTCTCTAAGCTACATGAAGTTCTTTTTTGGAACAAGGCCAAAATGTAAATAAATGGAAATATTTAATACACAGTTTTAGTAAGGAAGGTGCAAAACTTCCGTCTTTCGTGACTTCTTGAGAAATGGCTTAGGAGTCACTTTAAATGCCATGATGGTTTCTGCATGACAGTCATCCATTATGTTACAGATGTATAGAATTCTGCATACTTAGGCACACTCTTAAGTATCTGTGGTATGCATGGTATCAGATTTATATCATGGCACGTTGTTTCATGTTACCAAAAAATAGAAAATAGAGACAAGTCAACATTGTTGCAATAGAAGATTATCTATAAAAATTGAAAATAGGATGGTACATGGTATGTTGTAAATATACTGTAAATATCACTTAAATTACAGGTAAATATTAAAACTGTATTATTGCTTTACCATTGTATAAAGTGACAATAACCTCTAATGACAAATAATCGAGATTGACATTTTTTAGTAGCATCACAATTACAATTTTATTTGTTCTTTTTCTGTAGGTTCCGATCATAAAGCAGTTATTCATTCCAAATCCTCTCCTGAGATTGCTCTGAGATTTGAAAGTGGGCCTGGTGCTGTAATACACTCTTTGCTTGCAGAAAAAAATGGATTTCTACAATGCCATATAGAAAACTTCAGCACTGAGTTTCTTACATCTTCTCTTATGAACATTCAACATTTTTTGGAAGATGAAACTGTTGCAACAGTGATACCAATGAAGATACAAGTTTCTAACACAAAAATAAATTTAAAAGTATGTTAATATTTTCACATTTTTTGTATTATAAGTATTCACTTTCCTCCCTGAACTTTGGTTCATGCCTGAGCATATGCCTTCTCTGTAACACACTTGACCAGTGTTTATTGAAATGAGTGTGTTAGTCTTTGTGATGGATGATGTAAAGATTCTTCATAGAAATTAAAAAAATATCAAAATAGAATGGGCAGTTTTCTGTCTATATTAACTAAAGCATATAAAGATGCATTTCTAACTCATTAAAAGTGTTGACTGAAGTAATGTTTTTTAAGAAAATAATTCCATTAACTTAATCATTTACTTTAATAACAACATGCTGGTACTCTTTCTCTCTCCTGCAGGATGACAGCCCTCGCAGCAGTGCGGTGTCCCTTGAACCAGCTCCCGTAACCATCCACATTGATCATCTTGTGGTGGAGAGAAACGATGATGGCTCTTTTCATATCAGAGGCACGTATGAAAAAAACAGTTTAAGTGAATACTTACCAAAATTTGAAATTAAGTTATTTACATGCCGATTGTTTTCCATCACTATTATATGTGTGTGCCTATGTAGGAATAGATGATTGAGGGACACTTTCAGTGCATTGTAATAAATATCACCTATGTATGGATCTGTACCTCAGAACTAACTCACCTGTAGTTTACAGGTATCTGCTTTTGAGAATTAAGAAGAGCTTTGAGTGAATGCTTTGAATGACCCAAATTTCTCAAGTAGCTTGTTCAGAAATTTCAAGATATGCTGTTTTTTTCCTCCTTTGAGGCAAATTTACTTAGCAAGCAGGAGCATTCAAAATAATCTCATTAGTAGCCGTTTCAAAAATTATTTGTAGGTATTTGTTGATGTGATAATGGCAGTTTACTAAATATTTTTCTTCACTCCTTTCTTCCCCACCCCGGCCCCTGCCCTGCCCCACTGCCATATTCTAAGGTATACTAGCAGCTGTTCTGGATGCGATTAAAGTTCATCATGAAGGAATAGATGCTTTTATACCTGTTTTGCTGCTTATACTACTTCACACTTCTTGGGAAAGTCTTTAAAACAATTATCGATTTTGCAGTAAAGACTTTAAAGAGAACTTGAAATAATTTTTCAGAAAATTTGAAAGGCACATTATAATTTCTTGTTCCAGTAAAATGTAGCTAATTAGGTAACTATTAACAAGACTACCAGTGAGTGAAGAAGACAGAAAGTGTTTGTCGTTGTGTGTGTATATGGTGTGTGTGTATATACCATGCCATTTATCATTAATTACTTTTCATAGTAGTATACTGGCTCTCAACATTTTTTTCTCCACAACACACATAGGATCTGGCATATTCTCATCTGGAACAGTGGCCATTATGGCATCAATTCTCAACCAAAAAGGTTGTGAGGAAGGGACTACCTCTCGATAGGTTATATCAGACTGTATCTTTAAAGGTCTATGATGAGCAACTCTTTGCCATACACACCCTTAAAATTATTACCATAATGCTTCCTAACTTGGAATGTGGGAAGATTTATTTGATTGCTAAACCTAAAGAATGGTAACACCTAAATTCAGAAGACTGTCCATATGACCAGAAAGGAAAAAGGAACAGAAATTTTCTGTTTGAATGAACAGAGAACTATTGAAGTGTATGAAGTCAAATATTTATTAAGCACCTACTGGGGTACTAATAATTCATACTTGAATAATGCTTCCCATTTTATAAAGTTCTTTTACATTAAATATAAACTCATTCTTACCATAACCCTTTGTAATAATTAAGGCAAGTATTGTTATCACCTCTGTTTTGCAAATTACCGTAAGAAATTGAAGTTTGGAGAAGTCGGGTGACTTGTTCCAGATGAAAGAGTTAGAAGTGAGTGGCAGGTCCCGCACTAGGGAAAAGTAGATGTTGCTGCAAGGCACTGCAGGTTTCATCCTTCAGGGGCATAGACTCATTCATCAAAATTTGTCCTGAAAACTTGAAAGAAGAACCTCTTTTAAAGCAAGTGTAAGGAAATGTGTCTTTCTGTAGCAACAGACTCCAGTCGCCTGTGTCATTCAGAGGTTCTCTTCCCATTCCTTTCCAGTCCCCCCGTGTTTTTGCCTTCTCCACCTTCTTGCCTCTTTGTCCCCGTTCCCTCCCTGCTCATCTCCCCCTTTACCTCTTCTTACTTACACACCCCTCTCCTCCTCTTCCATCCTCCCTCCTCTTTCTCCTCTCCGAATCTCTCCTTCCTCCTCTCCACACTTCTTCCTCTTCTCTCCCCCTTTTCTCTCCTTATTCTACCTCCCAGTGATCAGTATAAAATAGGTTTTACAGTTGTTTAATCAGAGGCTTTTTCATTATTCTCAGAATCCCGTGAGTAGTAAGATGTAGGTTAAATAGAAAAGGTCCTGGAGCTTCTGTTATCCTTACTACAGCAAGGTAACTCAGCTTTTATTTTTAGTTTATTTTAGTGTTTTAAGTCATATTTACTTTTTTAAAAAGTTTTGTTTCTTTAAAAGTTTGAAAACCAATGACTAATCAGGTAGTACTTTAGGGATGCTATTAGTCTTTTGAGGTTGTTTCCTTCTGGGAATCTTTTTAAGCGGGGGTGGGGGCGGGGAATTATGTTGAGCAGAGAGTACTCTTTCATTTACACAATCCAATTTGACTTAATATACTGCTATTCTCTCATTCCATGTAACTTTACTGAACTTGGCAATCATGACACTCTATCACAGAAGTGAGAATAGGACCCAGCTGGGCCAATCAAAAGATTTCAGCCCTTGGGACATGGTGACTAGTAAATGATTTGATTGTGACCCAAGCATTCTGAGCCATTTTTTGTGAATTGAGGAGGACACTAAGGGGTCACAGGCTGTGAAACTTTCTTGAGTCACCAGTGGCTACCTTTGCTATCATATGACTGAACCAGCACAGAGAAAAATAAAAGTGGACCTAAGATGTAGTAGAGTCCGGTTCCTAAAGTGATTCCCCAGAGGACACATGAATCCTAGTATCCAGCCCTGCCTGAACCATCATCCCTTGGATTTCTCTGTTAAAGAAACAAATATATTTCTTTTTTAAAAAGCAAGTTTGAGATGGTCTTCTATTACTTGTAACCTAATGTCCTCTGTGATCCAAAAAGTAAGAAAAAAATGTTGATGTATAAAGATGTTCCCTGCCTTTTTTTGTAATTATTTTTAATAAAAATATTTTTGAGATATAATTCAAATGTCATACCATTCACACAAAGTATACAATTTAGTGGTATGTAGTACGCTCATTAATGGTGCCACCATCATCACGGTCAGTTGCAGAACATTTTCATCACCCTCAAAAATACCTCTGTCTACTAGCAGTCTCTTCCTGTTCCTTCCCCAGCCCAGGGCAACCGCTAATGTGCTGTCTGTCTGGGGATTTGCCTACTCTAGACATCTGATATCAATGGAGTTACACAATGGATGGTCTTTTGTGACTAGTTTTTTTCAGTTAGCATAGTTTCAAGATTCATTTATGTAGTCACATTTATCAGTACTTTATTTTCTTGCATGGCTAAGTAATTTCATTTTATGGACACTACATTTTATTTATTCATAACTTGATAGACATTCGGATTTCTGTTTTTTGACTATTACGAATTATGCAGCTATAAACAGTTGTGCATATGTTTTCATTTCTCTTGGGTATGTATCTAAGAATTTTTGGGACATATGGTAACTCTTAATTAACCATTTGAGGAACTGCCAGACTGTTTTTCAAGGTGGCTGCACTAGTCTGCATGCTTACCACTAGAGTATATTGAAGATTCCAACTTCTCCACATCTTTGCCAACACTTGCTTCTATCTGATGTTGATTATAGGCATTCTAGTGGGTATGAATTGATGATATCATTATGGTTTTGATATACACTCTTCTAATGGCTAATGATGTCAAGCATTTTTTTTTCATATCTTTATTTGCTATTTGTATATCTTTGGGAAAATGTCCACATCCTTTGCCTAAGCTTTAAATGGATTATTTGTCTTTATTATTGGGTTTTAGGAATTCATTATATATTATAGAAATAAGTTCCTTATCAAATATAATTTGGAAATATTGTCTTCTAACCTATGGACAGCCTTTTTACTTTTTTCAAAGTGTCCCTTGAAGCATGGAAGTGTTTTTTTGTTGTTGTTGTTTTAGTGGAGTGCAGTTCATTTGGATTGTTGTTGCTGTTGCTTTTGTTTCCTTTGTGCTTTTGGTGTAATATTTAAAAATCCATGAACACATTTGAAACTATGAGGTTACCCCTATGTTTTCTTTTGGGAGTTTTATAGATTTAGCTGTAAGTTTAGCTATTTGATCTATTTGAGTTAATTTTTGTATTTGGTGTGCTGGTAAGGACCATAGACACATAGGTTTATTTCTGGACTCTCAAGTGTATTTCATTTATCTGTACATGTAGTCGTGTAGCAGTACTATACTGTCTTGATAACCATTTTGTTCAGGAGTAAGTTCTGGAATCGGGAAGTGCGAGTCCTTCAACTTCAGGTGTTTGGTGTGTGTGTGTGCGCGGGCATGTGTGCGTGCATTCGTTTTGACTATTCTGGGTTCTATGCAGTAGCATGTAAATTTTAGAATCAGCTTGTTAATTTCTACAGAGAAGCCAGCTCAATTTAGATAGGGATTGTGTTAAAGCTGTAGATCAATTTGGGAAGTAGTGCCATCTTAACAATATTAAGTCTTTTCATACATGAACATGCAATTCTTTTTTTCATTTATTTAGGTCTTTAATTTCTTTCAACAGTGCTTTAGTTTTTGGAGCTGAAGTTTTCATTTTTGTTAAATTTATTCCTAAGTATTTTATCTTTTGGATGATGGTTTAAATGGAATTGTTATCTTAATTTATTTTAGGGTTGTTCATTATAAGTGTTTAGAATAACAAGTGATATTTATATATTGATCTTGTATCCTGCAACTTAGCTAAACCCATTCATTAGTTCTAGAATTAGTTCTTAGAACTAAGAGTTTTTAGTATATTCTTTAATCTTTTTCTATATGCAAGGTTATGTCATAAGTGAGTAGAAGTAATTTTACTTCCTTTCCAGTGTGGATGTCTTTTATTTCTTTTTCTTGCCTAATTGCCTTGGCTAAAACCTCTAGGACATTGTCAAATGAAAGCGGTGAGAGCAAACAACCTTGTGTTATTTATGATCTTAGGAGCAAAGCATGCAGTCCTATACCATTAAGTATGGTATTGGCTGTGGGTTTCTTGTGGTTAACCTTTATCAGATTGAGAAAAATTCCCTTGTATTCCTAGTTTGCCGAGTGTTTTTATCCTAAGAAAGCATTGGGTATTGTGAAATGTTTTTTCTGTATCTGTTGAGATAATCATGTGACTTTTGTTCCATTCTGTTAATATGATGTATCATGGTGATTGCCTTTTGGATATTATCTCAACCTTGCATTCCTGGGATAAATCCCACTTGGCCCTGGTGTATAATTTTTTTTATGTGTATCACTGGATTCAGTTTTCTAATATTTTGTGGAGGATTTTTGTGTTTATATTCATGAGCATACTGATTTTAGTTATACCTGGTTTTGGAATAGGAGTAATACTGGTTTCATAGAATGAATTGGGAAATGTTACTTCTGTTTTTTAAAGAGTTTGTAAAGATTTGGTATTAATATTTCTTTAAATGTTTGGTAGGATTCACCATTGAAACCATCTGGGCCTGGGCTCTTCTCTGTGGGTAGTATTTTTGATTACTGGTTCATTCTCTCCACCTGCTGTATGTCTGTTCACAGTGTGTATTTCTTCTTAGTCTATTTCTGTAGTTTACGTCTTCCTGGGAATTTTTCTATTTCATCTAAGTTATCTAATTTATTGGAATATAGTTGTTCATAGCATTCCTTTAGAATCATTTTTATTTCATTAAGGTCGATAACAATGTCTCCTATCTAATAATTTCTTTACTTTTGGGAGGGTCAATATAACTAAAGTTTTGTCGATTTTATTTTTCTTTTCAATGAATGAGCTTTTGGTTTATTGACTTTTGTGTTGTTTTAGAATAATGTCTTCATACTAATAGAGATATGTTTATTTTTAAATTTGTCATAATAGTAATTAAGATATATCAACTATTTGAAAATGTTGTCTGAGCATTTTATTTGTTTTATCAGATTCTCAGATACTTAACACTGGAAATGATTTGAAAGAAAACATCACAAGTGAATCAGTGCTGCTCACCAGTGGAAAGTATGACCTGAAGAAACAGCACAGTGTCACTCAAGGCACTCAGACGAGTCCTGAGGTTCCTTGGCCCTCTCAGTCAGTTAACTTTGTTGAGTGCTCCTTCGGCTTTACTAGGGAACAGGTAATGGGCAAACTAATTTATTCTCCTTCAGTTTCAGCAATTAAAATAAATATTATATACTAAATAATTAGGAAGTTGTTTATTTAAGCAGCGATTGTTGAGTGCCTGTTGTGGACCCCCACCCCGTGTAAGGTGTTGGGGATGTCGTGTTGAGCACCACAGGAACAGGCCCAGCCATCAGGGAGGCTGCAGTCTAACAGGGAGATGGGGAGTGAATGTGGGCGAGCGCCGGTTTCTTGGTCTAGGAATGCTTCCTGGGGAATAAAGTCATGTTGATGTCTTTTTTTATAATGTCTTATTTTTAAGTTGGAAGATATAACATTTCAGAACAATATTTAAAACAACTTGAGTACACTCTAACCTCCTAAAGTGCTATTAATACTTCTTTATTTTCTTCTCGGGCTCTTTTCCATAATTTTCTTAAACAATTGTTATTTTAGTATATATACTTTATTATTTTTTACTTAATATTGTTGAACAATTATTTTTTTATATTGCTATATATGCTTCAAATTCACTTCTAGTGGCAGAGTAATGTGGATGTGGATGTACTCTCATTTCTAAACTTTCTGTTAACATTTGTTAATATTTGAATTTCTTTTTGCCATCATAAATAAAATGTCCAGCAGAAGTTTAATTCTGTATAATAGAACCACAGAATAACTTCATTTGTGTTCAGCAGGACTTGTTGGATGTCAGCTGTGAGCCAGGGTATAGAGTTGAACAGTGTACCATCCTTATCTGTTGAGAAACTCAGAGTCCAGTGGGGAAGACAGGGCGCGTGATTGGGGGTTACGACAGACCGTGTGATGCTGCACTAGAGATTGAGGAAATACAGGAAAGTACCCAGCTTGGTTTATAAAGCAGGAATTCTTAAGCTGGGACTAAAAGAAGTCTGAGAACTCTTTGAAATTAAATGTTATGTTTTGATGTATCTGAAAATGCATTCTTCTGGGATAGAAAGTACTTAGTTTTATCAAATCTTCATAGGTTAGGGAATAGTTCTAAGAGGATAAAATACTTGAACTAAGTGTTAATTAGGAGGGAGACCTATTGGCCATCTAGATGAAAATGCCTAATGAGATGGTCAGAACGTGGGTCTGAAGCTCGAGAGGGTGGTTTACGCTGGATCAGGCCATGTATGATAGCGGGAGCCACAGCAGTACATGCGATCACCTGAGAGAGTGACTCGAGTGAGAATGGAAGGCAACCCATCATGGAGGCTAGTAGAATATTACAATGTAAAGGTTCTTAAACAGCACAGGAAAAGATGAAAAGCCCATATGTAGAAAGGGATAAACATGAAAGAGCTGTGACATACAATGTAGAAAAGGAGAGACACTTAGGAAAGTGAGGTGAGGTCAACACTGTCTAAAGCCACAGAAAGGTCCAGGGAAATTAAAATTAAACTAAATCACTGTTAGATTTTGAAATTAGGATTTAATTAGTGTTTTGAATTGCTGGGTCAAAACCTGGGAACATTTTAAAGGGCTTGAAATGTGTTTCCAACTAGCTTCTCGAAGCAATTTTCAGCATAAGTGCATCCTCATCAGCACTGGGTAGTTTTACTGCTCCAAGTGTCATACCTTTAGCTACTGTATAAATTATCTGTGCTTTCTGAAAATAATTGAATTCTCTGATGTTTCAAATTTTATAATTTCAGCTCTTGGAAGAGAATGAATCTCTTAAGCAAGAATTGGCTAAAGCTAAAATGGCTCTTGCAGAGGCTTACTTGGAAAAAGATGCTCTTCTTCATCACATCAAGAAGATGACAGTTGGCTAGCGGGAGTGGCAGTCCGAAGCTCAGACTGTAACTCTGGAGTAGGGAGGTTGTACTTATGATGCGATGTTACCAATTGGCCAGTTGGTTACCAATTAGAGAGAATTTCCTTTTCATGAAAAGAACAATAAAATGAAATGAAACATGATGAAGTGGTGACTATTCCAAAGCCAGTTTAGGAAATATTAGGTACAAGCATTACAATCTTTTGGTTGTTCTGTGTTGTGGAGTTTAAACCTCTTTTAAACTGGTGTGATAGAAGGAAAATCAACACGTACTGTAAAATAATTCCATGCCTAATGAAAAGAAGATGTCATTTCCTAATTTTGATACCACATTATAGGCATTTTTTAAAAAGAAAAATGAAATCTGTTGTGTTCCACAGATAATAATTACTATTATTTACAAAGTTTCAAATGCTTTTAAGGCTAATGTAAAATAAAAGGCTTACATTTTCAATGTTACTAAAATAATGTACTTAATCTATAATTATTTAATTACTGTAAAAAGTCCAGTCATATTAATAAATTATGTAATTACTGGGTTTGAAAAATCTGGAAAATCATCACCCTAATGAACTTATTAAGTAACTTGGAGGTGTGAAAAAGAAATTATTTTAAATGATGGATAAACTGTAACTTGAAGCTATAATTTTCCACAATATGGTATAAGTGTAAAAATAAAAAGCATAAACTATAAAAAGCAAAACATTAGAGTATAAGACCAACTGATTTAAAAAACATTACTTGTACATTCCTTGAACTATTTATTGTTATAAGAAAAAGAGTAATTTATCCCACTAAATTTGGCAGCATTTATAACTGTAATAATTTTAATTAATACTATTTGTATTATTTCTTTATCTTTTCCCTGTTTAAGGAGGGGAATGTTTTCAGAGAATTTTCTTTACACATACAATACCAATTTGATACCATTCTTGTAGTATCAGATTTAGGTGGATGTTTGCACATACCCAATTTATATAGCTAGTTTTGATTAAAGTTCTTTGTGACATATATACTTCTATAATAATTATAATTGCTAAATTTTGAATTCTATTTTCTAGGAATTGTTATGGCTGAAGACAAGAGACACTTTCAATCATGCATTATGAAATAAAAGTACATGAGTGTTTAAGAAAGAGAGGCTTTTAAAGATTTAAAATATATTTCTGATAGAATTAAACTAAGTGGGGGTCTATTTTAAAATTTACATTCTTAAACATAAACATATCCAGGGAAGAAGACGAAATAGCTGGACTGCTTTTCTTTAACATACTTGAAAATTTTAAACGACATGACGACACTTTACGGTGCTTTGCTTGTTGGCCTGACTTACATCACCATTCCTATATCTAAGTACTCGGAGGGGAACACACGCTTCATTTACTCAGGTGTTGGAGTGACTTAGATTTTATTGAAAACAGTACTGGCCTTTTTTTCTTCTATAACACCCATGACATGATTTTAAAACACAGGCCCTGTTTTGGGAGCTGAGGGTAGAGCAAAGAACAAATTTAAATTGTTAATATTTCACCTCAGAGTATTTAAAAATTACGTTAAACCATGTTCATCTAAAACTTTGTAGTAGTCTTAGATTAAAAGCAAGGTCTAATTAAAGATTTGAAATGTATAGCTAATACCTTTTTTCTTTTGATTTATGGTATATATTCAACAAATGCAGTCTCTCACGTAGAAAAGCAGCTTTGATGGGACATTAACTTCTGCAGAGCTGACATTGTTTCTCAGGATTGACCTATTTGCTCTATGTAAATTTTAAACTTGTGGTATATTTTAATTCGTGTTATAGAAGCCAAATGTTTTTAATATTTTTTTATTGGCCTCAAGAAAATCATATAAACAGTAGAGATGATAACTAATATGGATCTGAGCATTCTATATGCTTTGTTGGGTTTTTAAAAAATTTATAGTGTGTGCTGTTTTTATAGAGATTTAAAATTCATAAACACTTCCAAAAAAAACAGTCTCATGTAGTTTCCACAAAAGCAGTGTGGGAGTTAGGTATTATTCACATTTTAGAAGTTAAATAAAAACCCTAAGGCTCAGAAAGGACAAGTTGACTTGACTGAAGTCACAACTAGTAACCTGCTCTTTGGACTTAAATCCCAGTTATGTGCTCTTATTTTACTCTAGTCATTAATTCACACATTTTGCCATGGGTGGGGAGCATCACTTACTATCTTTTAATCCTTTTTTCTTGTAAAGATAAAAATAATACTTTTAATAAATGGGAGGATTTTTTATTGCTTCCGTGAACTCCAACCTTTTTGGTGGTCAGAAATATAGGGATAGGCCTATACAAGACTTACCAGAGTTTTTCCATCACTGCAAATTACAAATAAAGTTGCCATGTCTTGAAACACAATTTTTCCCTAAATCTCTAGCAGAGATATTAGTGATCAGGGGAAATAAATGGTAATTGCGTTTAGCATTTCAATTTTTTGAATGTGAAAACCATTTTCTTGGTATCTTGTCTTTTTCTTTACTTATTTTATCTTAAAATTTCCAAAGGCCACCTTATGATGCTAGTTGTGATAAAGCATTATTTTTAGGTCATGTTAGAATGGCTGTCTATGATTGTAGGCAAATATATGTGGCTTTTTATTGTCATTATTGTTATTCAGTACTTGAGTTATAACTTCCTCTTTAACAAGTTTTTATTAACCTCGGTTTTTCAAAGCATCTTTTATTGCAGTGAATGCCAACACCATCACCCTGCTTCCCAAAGCAGAAACCCGGAATTCACCTTAGGTACCATTCTCTGACTCCCTCTCTACCCTTACCGCTGTCAGTTCATTACCAGGTCCTGTCATTTTACCTTGCAAACATCCCTCAAATTTGTCCACTTCACTTCTCACCACCTTTCTAATCTAAGCTACCATCAGTACCTTTCTTTGCCTTGCATTACTTGAATTGCCTCCTAACAGGTCTTCCTACAGCCACTCTGGACCTCCTCTGATTCATTCTGTAGGTGCAGGCAGAGTTCTTGTTTTTGAAGTGCAGTTTCAATCAAGGCAGCCCACCTATCCCTTTGTTACCCTTAGCTTAAAACACATCAGTGACTTTTCATTGGTTTTATGATAGAAACAAAAATGTCTTGTAACCTATGAGGTCATAGATTAGGGCCACCATTTACTTTATAGGGTAACTCTAAGCATTAAAAGAGTTAATGTCTCATACAAATAAAACAGCTGGCACATCACCTTAAAAAGCACTCAGTAGAAGATACTATTGCTTAGTTAGCATGTTGTGTGGCATGTTTCAGTTACTTTGTGTTCTGCTTTGGTTGCACACAGAGTATCTGGAATAAGAGAATAGCGTGCTTCTTCCACACTGGAAGCTTGTTCATGCTGTTCCTTTGATTTGAAATACCTTTTGCTACTCATTGCCTAGTTAATTCCCATTTGTCTTTAAGATCTCAGCTCATCCTCTGATTTCTGTCACAAAGCACAACTGCTGTTACACATAATTACACAAACACATACCTCTAGTTAGCTTTGCACAATTTTGTAATTTAATATGTATTTGTTTGATTGATGTAGACCCTCTAAATGGTAAACTCCCTGAGAACAGGAATTATGTTTTTGTTGTCATTGTTCAGCTTTGTATTCCTTATCTCTCCTGCAGTGCCTGGCACATAGTAGGTGCTCAGTAAATTTGTTGACAGAATAAAATGGATGAGGTACCAAGGATGTTTTTAGATATTGAGTTCTTCCTCTCAGTTGGATTGATGGGAGATGGAATGTAGGCTGGAACGTAGGTAGTGGTTGTTAAAGGGACAGACTCCTTTATCCATAGGGGGAAAGGTAGGGAAATGGAAAGTTTGCCATATTGTATTCTTTAGAATTTCGACTATCTGAACTTCCAATTAATTTATCACAAGCCATCCCGAAACAAAATTAGCATATCATGTCATAAAACCACAGTGCCAGAATGTCATCTGTCTTTGATTGTAGCATATGGTGTTGTGGCTGTCAGGATCTGCCAGTCCTGTCAGCTCAGCAGAATGGAAAGAAGACCAAAAGAATAATGGCTGAAAGTGTTCGATTTTGAGAACTTGACTGATAACATAGTATCTATTGTGCCTAATTCCTTAAAGTGCAAGCCATCTCATTTTAGCTTATTCCTAGAGATGCTAAGGGAAGTAAGTTTTGAACTTACTTCAATTTCCTTTTGGAATAAGCTATGGAAAGTTGGGATCCCACAGGATATAAAACACTAATGCAGTAATTTTTAAAATAATTACACTACAAATTTTAAAATGTTTTGCTGTCTTTATTGAGAAATAAAAAAAATGAAGGTAACATGAAGCAAAAAAGCAAGCATGGCAGTTTTTATAAACCATTAGATATTACCTAATGGATTATCATAAGGTGGAGGGAATTCATGTTAATGTTACAGTGTTGAAATTCAGCACATCTGTTGCCAACACTGCTGTATAGTCTTTGCTTTATAGTCTTTGTATAGTCTCAGGCTTGAGAGCTTGAAACTTTTAAGAGAAAAGTTTTAAGAACTATGAAATCAACTTAATGCCTTTTTTTTCTATTTACATGATAAAACATTTATGGTAATTTTTTTGATCTTAGAAAAATAAGGTATCTAAATCACCAAGATGAATAATCTGGATTTTAAATGACTCTGAAAAAATATTTGGATGGAAAGGCAATGCTTATAAATTAGATATTTTCAATTTGTGTTATCAGACAAAAGTCAATTCATTCTGTACAAGTTATACTTAAGGGGTAAGTAAAATTTCTCATTCTTGTAATTTTTATGCGAAGAAATAGTGGATTGTTGAGGTGAAGAAATACTTGGTGTTACGGTGGTTAGGAGAGTACAGTGAGGTGATTAACCTTTTTCTTATCATTTAGCAGAATTGTTTTGGTTGGTATGACAGAAAAAGAACTCAAATACTGAATCATAAATGTCATCAAGAGTAAAAGACAAAGGCATATGAATAAAGGTGTAAATAAATAGAGATTAGAAGAATCCCCATAGGATATGGGAGAAATAAATTTATAGGGGGATGATCAGAGTCCATCCTTTGCAGTGTTTGAAATCACTCCAATTAAAATAGATATATAGTAAAATCAGAACAGGAGCATGTAAAAACAGCCACAGTGAGCAAATCCAGTGTAAGGAAATATGTTGAACAAAATTCTAATAATTAAGCACTTGAGAAAGATCTATGATAAAGAATTCACGTGGTTTATCATATGAATTAAAGCCTAAAACAAAAAATAAAGGCAAAAATTCTTCATTTTAATGTGCAAAAATTGGCACGTGCAGAAATTCTTCAATAATGATATACCCACAAAAAATAGATCTATTGGAGTCTTAAGATTCCAATTTTGAGATTAATATTCAGGGTACTCACTGCTGTTGGAGACATTTTATTGGTATAACAATGTGCTTTTAGCATTTTGTCTGAATTCAATATATTTACTTGATAATTCTTATTAGCATAATTAGCATAGATATGATAATCATTTGGTGCTTCTCTCTGGTTTATTTTTGCTTTCTTTATTCCTTACAGTCTAACAAGATTTTTCCGTAGAAAACATGAAAGCTATGAAAGCAAGAGAGTTCTAAAGAGGAATATAAAATGAGCAAATAAAGCAACTTTTTAATATTTTATTTCTATAAATTTCTAGAACTTAAGGCATTCTCATATTGTAATATCAATATGAAAACATGTGAAAGCCAAGTATGCTAAAAGTGCTAGGTTCTTGCTACATTAGCATATTTGAGAAGTACTGTAATGTATGTAAGCCTTTCATACATTTTAGTGGTAATTTAGTTAAACTTTGCAGTTCTTACCTGTATCTTTAGTAAGTCCCCCCTCTTTTTTGCCTTTAGAATTGTTTCTTGTTAATATGTTTTGTTGAGTAGGCTTCAGCTTTGAATTTCTTTTGATCCACTTTTTGTGTAGTTCCACTGTTATGTCTAGAGGCCATTATAGAGTGACCAGTTTTAGAAACTAAAGTGCAGCTAATATGAAAATACTCCCAAGTCCTTTTTGCTGTGTAGAACAACATAATGTTCTGGGCAGGGAGGTGGGTACCATTATTCCACTTATCACAACCTCCTTGTACTCTTGGTTCTGTTTTTAATTTTGTAG